AGTTGGGGGGGTAGGTTACCCCTGGTGTAAAAGGAGAACCCCATCAAACTTCCTTTCCCCTCAAGACAGATTAAGTCAATCAGAAGACTTCAATGGCTCTTTTAACCAATCCTTTTCTCTTCACTTGTTTACGTCACTGAACAGGGAAACTGTATGTGCTGTTGATTGAGTCATTGTGTTGTAAAGAGGGGCAGCCAACCCCCAAGCCAACCTCAGCCTCGACCCAAGCCCTACCTTCACAACACAGAGAGCACAATGAGAGTAACGCTAATTGAAAGTCAGAGGTTGCGACCTTTGTCAGGGGGCACTGAGCCCCTCTCTCCCGAGCCGCCACACACACTGCGGGGCCTGGTTTGCAGAGGGGGTCTCGTGGAAAGTCCCCTCGGCCGCACAGTGCTCCTCTCCTGAAGTCAGTAGGCTGAAAGGAGAGGCAGCTGTGTGGGTAGAAGAGCCTAGCAGCGGGGGGACAGGGGGATTTGCATTTGCCCCAAGAAGAAGGCTTTCATCCCCCCAGCTCTATTCCTATGGAGGGTGGGTGGGGAGTGGGAGTGGGGTGCAGGCCAGGGTACAGGAGAGAGACAATCAATGGGCTTTTCATCTCAGGTACCTGCCTTGTGGAGGAACATAAAGGAAGGGCATCTGGCCCTAAACAGAGAGTACACAGTGGCAGAATACCTGACCACTGTGACTGACCCAAAATTAAGAAAATCCTTGACTATGTACAGACTCAGTGAGCATAGCCTTGCTATTGAGAGAGGCAGCCGTAGGCAGACCTGGCTCTCAAGAGAAGACAGGCTATGTGCACACTGCCCACAAAATGAGTTGGAAACTGAGCTGCACTTCCTAACTTCCTGCCAAATGTATGACCTCATTAGAGACACATTTCCCACAGATCCAAAAGAATTTGAAAACAAATCAAACATTGATATACTCCCCTATCTGTTAGGCAAAATACCGCAGTATGCAATCACAGCAGCAAGATTTGTGTATGTTTGCCATGAAAAAAGGGCAACCAGTGGAGCACAAACAACATTGTAAATAACACCAATATTTATCTGTTTATTTATCTTCCCCTACTATTCGTACTACAACTATTTGCACATTGCTTGAACACTGTACATAGCTGATAATAACACTTGAAATGTATATATTTTTTAAATATTTTTAAGTGCAATATTTACTGTCAAATTCGAATAGTTTTTATTGATGTTATTTTGTGTCTTCTAACTTTTGTTTATTGTTTATGTCACTTGCTTTGGCAATGTAAACACATGTTTCCCATGCCAATAAAGCCCCTTTGAATTGAACTGAGAATGAGAGAGAGGGAGGAGAGCGTCGCCTGTGTAGTGGGCAATTGAGGAGGGAGGGAAGGAGAGGGAGGGATGGAGGGAGGGAGGGGAGGAGGAGGGAGGGAGGGGAGGGAGGGAGGGAGGGAGGGGAGGGAGGAGGAAGGGATGGAGGGAGGGGATGGGAGGAAGCGGAGAGGGAGGGATGGGAGGGAGAGGACAGGAGAGGAGAGTGGAGCAACCGGAGGAGGGATGAGGCGAGGAGGAGGAGAGGCGCGGAGCGAGAGGAGAGGAGAGGAGAGGAGAGGGAGAGGAGAGGGAGGGGAGGGAGGGAGGGGAGGGGAGGGGAGGGGCGGGGCGGGCGGTCTGGAGGGGAGGGGAGGGGATGGCGGGAGGGGGGGATGGAGGAGGGCGGGTACTGGAGGGCAGGGGGGAAGAAGGCGAGGGAGGGAATGGGCCGACGCGGAGGGGGAGGGGAGGGGAGGGGAGGGGGGGAGGGGGAGGGGAGGGAGGCGGGGATGGGAGGGGAAGGGGAGGGGGAGGGGAAGGGGAGGGGCGGGGCGGGGAGGGGAGGGGAGGGGTGGGGAGGGATGGCGGGAGGGGAGGGGACGGGGGAGGGGAGGGCGGGGATCGATGGGGAGGGCGGGGCAGGGATGGGAGGGAGGGAGGGAGGGAGGGGAGGGAGGGGAGGGATCGGAGTGGAGGAGGGGAGGGAGGGAGGGAGGGAGGGAGGGGGAGGGAGGGAGGGAGGGAGGGAGGAGGGAGGGAGGGAGGGAGGGAGGAGGAGGGAGGGAGGGATGGGAGGGGAGGAGAGGGAGGGATGGAGGGAGGGAGGAGGGAGGAGGGAGGGAGGGAGGGAGGGATGGAGGGAGGGAGGGAGGGGAGGAGAGGGAGGGAGGGAGGGAGGGAGGGATGGAGGGAGGGAGGGGAGGGGAGGAGAGGGAGGGATGGAGGGAGGGAGGGGAGGAGAGGGAGGGATGGAGGGAGGGAGGGAAGGAGAGGGAGGGATGGAGGGAGGGGAGGAGAGGAGAGGGAGGGATGGAGGGAGGGAGGGGAGGAGAAGGGGCAGGTCACTGTATTGGGTCAGCTACAGGGAGCACAGACTTCTTCATTTAGAGACCCCCTGCAGGCTGTTCCAAACCAACGCTACTGTATATCCATCTTTCTCTGACACACACTCTTTAGAATGAAGCTAACATACCAACATACCAACCATACGAATCAACCGAAACGAGACATACAAATGTGGTGACCTGTGCTATTTTGAGAAAGACATTTAAGAAAACCCAGAATAATAAAACGTATTTACAGACTTGTCGTGACAAAAGGGTTGCTATGGCAACCTGTTTTACACACTAGTAGGTCTGCTACACTTGAGGCCCAGTAATAAAATATAAAAATTGGGCTAATATTATGAAGCCATTGTTTTTAATAAGAATTTAGGATACACAATGTTACAAGATAAGAAAACAGACAAGCCGTCAGTCACAATTCCCCACAGCCTAAGAGGAGGTCAGTGCATTGCTATAAGTAGCTTTGTTCTGCATCATTATGCTTTAGAAAGATGGTCCAAAACCAGATCTTAAGACAGCAGCCGCCCCTCAAACCCCCCTCTTAGTCCCACCGAAGACCCCTGCAATAGTGCCAATTATTTTTAGACTTTTTAAAGTGGGTTGGCCCGTCCCACGAGACACCGCAAGGTTCTTCAGAAAGCACAACTTGAGAAAGAAAATAGGCACACTTAACAGAATAAGGGAAAACCCAGTTAAAGGTAGAATAATGTTGAGACCATATTGTTGCAGCAAGCTAAATGGAAATGAGTTTGAAGCCATTATATTTTAACCAATTGGTAATAGGAATGATCCATCTTCGAAAATTCAACTAATTGAATCAATGAGTGGTATTTTTTATTATGATTTTTGGGGAGATACATCAGTTGATTTAAAATTGTTATTGTACAAACATGTTCTTGAAACATTTGAAGAACATTTGGAAATTAATAGATGTTTATTTTTACTATTGACACCAGGCAGCTACATTCTGTTAACAAAATAATGATGTGTTACTGAGACTATTTACAAAACAGCTATAGTGAGAAGTAGAGATCTCACCCACATAAAGATCTTATCACAGTAGCCCCAGCTAATTAAATCAGACAATATTCCTATTAAACCTCAAATAAATCTTACCCGCTTTGAGGAACAACTGCTTTGTAGTAAATTCTGTGGCAAATTTCTAAATTCACTATATCTTAAACCCTAAAGGGAAAAAGTCCTGTTAACTTTAAATTGTTCCAACCACACACCTACTCTGATTTACTCACCCACATTGTAAATTGTTCATCTTGTTATATGTGCAGAGGTACATGCCCAAACATATAACAAATATTATGTACAGTCATCCTTATAAACATGATGAGTCCTTCACAGCTTGGTAATTTTCCAGTATTTGGATTTGTCTCTGCACTAGGCTAGGGGCCCTCTGAGACACCTACCTGCCATCTTCTCCTTTCATCAGAGAGAGGGCCATATGTGACAGGGTTTAGTAGTGAAACCTGATCCAGGTTGCATTCCAAATGGCACCCTATTCCCTTTGTAGTGCACTATATTTGACCAGGACCCCTATTCCCTTTGTAGTGCACTACTTGTGAATTATAAAGGGAATAGGGTGCCATTTGAGACACATTCAGGGTTTAGTAGTGAAACTGAAACCTGATCCAGAGTCAATATGACAGCCTGCTTTGGCCCTGATAGATGGAGGGTGACCTGGGAGGGACAGTGCTCTCCAGGTAGGTACTACAGTACCCAGGCTGTTAGGGCTCCGTCCGTCTGTCTGTCTGGGCTCAGATCACTGCATATGGTGGCATTCCAGACCGACTACATTGTAGTGGCGCAGCGAGCATCAACCAATGGTTGCGTGCCACGTCGTAGACGGAGCAATTGGGCATCAGATGGCTGATATGTTAAACACCTATCCATGCGTTGTGAAATCTGGCAGGTGTCTGACCCCGCAATGCAGTCAGTCTGGAACACGGCCCATATCTGGAGAAGAGGGTCATCCAGGGACTGTGGGCAGGGCGCCCAGTTTCCCCCCAACAACCATCTGGGATCAGAACAGGGGAACAGGGGAGTAGGACATCTGTCTACTCTGTACACATCCACTTTAATGATCTTGGATGGGAAATGAATGAGCGCAGCAGTTTGGATATCTGGATGTGTCCCAAATGGCACCCTATTCTTTATATAGTGCATAGGGCTCTTGTCAAAAGTAGTACATTATAAAGGGAATGGGGTGCCTTTTGGGATGCACCCTCTGTCTGATTAATCATTTAAACTTTTTACTTATTTATGATTGGTGCTGTAAAGGCTGTATAACTAATACCAGGATCATTTTTGTGATTGCCCAGTCAGTGAAAGAGTCATAAACTGAATTGCAGTGAATTTCCATTAATTGGTTCTACAGCCAAGCTAGTTTAGAGACTAAGCAATGTTCCCTATAAAGGGAACAGCGACATGCTGTCTTAATAAGGGCGAGTAAAGCGTTACGTGTGTAAGTGTGTGTGAGTGTGTGTGTGTGTGTGTGTGTGTGTGTGGTGTGTGTGTGGTGGGGGGGTAACACAGTCAGTCCTCTGTGGCTCATTATTGGTCTATAATCCAATCCACACTGATGGTCACCTAACCTCTGAGCTTTGAATTGTGTTCCAACATGGCTTCAGTCAGTCAATGGGGCTGGGCTGGGCAGTGTGTGTCTCTGTGTGTGTCTCTCTGTGTGTCTCTGTGTCTGTGTGAGTGAGTTGGCCCAGTGATTGGTGATTGGGCAGTGGCTGTGGCTCAGCTCAGAGTATGGCTCTGTTACGTGTCTTAGGCAGTGCTTTAGTACAGGACAGGACAGGAGAGACAATGGTGATAGATTCAAGATGCTGCCTGAGTTGTGGTGGTGGTGGTGGGGGAGGGTGGAGCTGCCTGGAGGGAGAAGAAGAGAGAGGGGGATTGGCTTGGAGCTAAAGCAGAGCTTGATGTAAACCAGATGAGGAGAGGAGAGTCTCTAAAACAAAAGACAACCCAGAGTTCAGCCAGGCAGCCAGCATCCCCCATCGCACAAACACCTACTAGTCTTCACATTACACAGGCTGACTTCCAGCAAAGTAAGGCTAAGGAGGGTTGATTACTTTCGGGATAAACCAGGGTATGTATCTTATTTCGAGGGAAAATAATGTTTCTAACTAATCCAGTTAGCTAAGAGACCCTCTGTAGCTTCGCTAACAACAGTCATGCTGCTACTGGTGTAGCTAACTTCCTAACTATTTAAACACAGTCTGCATACCAAATGGCACCCTAGTCCCTTTATAGTGCACTACTTTTGGACCCTACCCTGGTCAAAAGTAGTACACTATATATGGAATAGTGTGCCATTTGGGATGCATCCCTAGACTCCCATGAGAGAGACATGCCATATTGCCTCATGGTAATTTTGATGACCCATCACATCTGCCTCTCCCTGGACTCTCTTTGGGCCGACATCAAACAGAGAGAGAGAGAGAGAGAGAGAGAGAGGGGTGCAACCCTGTCAGAAATGGCTGAACTGAAAGAGGAGCTCTTCTTAAACCTGTCTGCTCCTCCACCTGCCTGTGAAAGCAGAGCCCCTGTCCTTCTGGCGCGTGGCTTAGCACCCAGGGGCCTGGATGGGCCAGGCCCGTCTGGGGGCCCCGCTGATCAAAGCCCCGCGGCTAGGGGAATCGGGGAAGCATCCCATCTCCGGCGCCCAGATGAAGGGCCAGGGGTGAAGAGGTGAGGCCTATCAGTGGCATGATACGGCCGGGGCCTACTCAACAACAGGGACTTGGGTTTCACTGATGTCTCCGACTCCATCTGTGCGAGGAACATTATCTATAACCCCTCCCTTTCTTCACCCCTCCCTCTTTTCTCACCCCCCCCCCCCCCCCCCATCGCATGCTGCGGAGGATGAGAGCGCCACAGAGATACGGTTCAGGCATTACAGCAGAGGCATGGCCAATCTTCAAAAACCTAATGCAAATACCTCATTTCCTAGGTCACCCACCGGCAATATAGTTTGTCATTTCACAACGTCGAAAGTTTTTTAATGATTTCTGCATGATTTAAGAAGCTCTTTTAAGTTGATGGGGATTCGGTTCAAATAGAGCGCATGTGTTGTAAAATTCAGACCTGTGTTCTTGTGAGACCATCGGTTAATAACTACCCTATGAAAACAGAAGTGTGTGCAGCTGCTCTGTATGAAATGATCTATCTACCAGACAATACCAGGGAGGATCACAGCAATTAACAGTGAATCTGACACACGGTTCCTCAGTACTTTGGCTCTTTTTCAGGCTCTGCTTTAGCAATTAACAGGATTTACAAAGCCTACTGGCAGGGGTGAGAAGAAGCAATCTGCTGCATAGTCAGTCTGCGTCCCAAATGGCAACCTATACCCTATTTAGTGCACTATTTTTGACCAGGACCAGTCACTGAGGACCCTAGATGGTCGGTAAAGAACTTTAAACGCGTGGTGGAATCCTTGGCTTGACAGACACAATAAAATGATATGCCTGGGCTGGTCAAGCCATTAAGAATGCCTAGCGCTCCCTCGGCTTGAGCCAGCAACATTCTGTCTGCGTCCCAAATACTATTCTCTATATAGTGCACTACTTTTGACAAGATACCAATGGGCCATGGTCAAAAGTAGTGAACTATAAAGGTAATAGGATGCTATTTGGGATGCAACATTCTCTCTCTCGGATTCTCTCTCACATGCCCTGCTACCTGCAGCTGTTGCCTGTTAGACATACCAGTGCAGCTGTGGAGGGTGGAGGATGAAACCAAGCCTGAATACATAGGATCTGTCCCAAATGGCAACCTACTCCTTATATAGTGCACTACTTTTGACCAGGGCCCATTGGTCTCTGGTCAAAAGTAGTGCACTATATGGGAAATAGGGTGTCATTTGGGACGCACCCATAGTGTTCTCCCCCTCATTTAAGGCCAGGCAGCTACCAGAGCAGACAAGACAAATGGACTAAATATATCCAACTCCCAACAGACAAAGCACATCTCTCTGTTGATTAGCTGAGCCACGCCATGGTTGTCTACTAAACTAGACCATTGTTCAGGCTTACTAGAGATTTCTCTGGACATTTAGATATTTTTAAGACTTTGCTTGTTTCAATAAGGGTGTGACTGAGGAAATAGCTGAAGCAGAATATTGTAGGTCACAAGCACGCATCAAAGTGGTGATGACATTTTCTTGTAAAATCACTCCTTAGAGGATAGGTGGAACCATTTATATCTCCTCCTATAATTCATAAAACACAAACCGTAGGTTGGGAATCTATCATTACAATTGAAAGAGTCGGATAGCTAAGGGATGGATTTGCAGACACAGATTAGGCCTAGTACTTAAAAGGTATTTCAATGGAGAATGTCCATGGAGAATGGTTTTTAGTCCTGGACTAGTCTTAATCTGTAACTGGGAAACCGTCTCTAATAGGACTTCCATAGCCTACTGGTAGGGGTGAGAAGAAGATCTCTACTGCATCCCAAATGGCAACCTATACAGCTACAGAGGTTCTACAGTAAAAAGGTTTTGGGCGGTGCTGTTTTACCAGTCAATGACTCTGACATTGTCAACAGGATAAATCGAGCAACAATAACCAAGCAAGTCTTCTGACACTTGTGGGTGAAACCACAATAAGAAAAGTCTAAATGGAATCATCGTCCCAACTCTGACGTCACCCCTTTGAAGTTGAAATGTAAAATGGTTAAGGTACGGGGTTTAGGGTAGGGATGTCCCAAGGATCCCGGATAGCACTAACCAACCACAATCCCTCACTGACATCATTCACGTTACACACAAACTGTATAGAACAAGACTCAACACATCAAGTTCAACAGTGGAGTCTCTGTGAATGTGTGTTCCCAAAATTGTTCCCATTTGCCTGCAGTGTGACTGGGAAGTGAACTGGTGATGCAGTGAGTGTCTCCAGGTCAGATAATGAGAGAAGGAGAACACAGTCAACCGTGAATATAAACACACCACTTGAGCGCCGATGTCGCACTCAATAACCTTGGGGGAATGACTCATCGTAGCGCCACAGAGAAAGAGAGTGTTATACACACACACACGTAGGGAAAGTGCACACACACTACATACACACACACACACACACTCACACGCACGCACACACACACTGTACTGGAGGGCATTTTCATTCTCCCATCCTGTCAAAACATCCGTTTAACAGGACAGTTGTGGTTGGTGAGCGAGGCAGCAGAATGACAAAGTGTTTGGCCTTTTCACTGTTGTTTTGGGCTAGCAGCTAGCTAGCTGGTCATCATCTGCCTGTAGGACATGTCATGGGGAGAGCAACATTGACTTTCTGACTTTCTCCAACTCTTTCTCGCTGTCTCTCAAACTCGCTCTCTCTAACTTGCTCACTCTAACTCCCATCTTCTCTCTCTCTATCTCCAACTCCAGCCTCTGTTCCCTGGGCGCCGATGACATGTCGATTAAGGCAGCCCCCCGCACCTCTCTGATTCTGTGGGGTTGGGTTAAATGCGGAAGACACATTTCAGTTGAATGCATTCAGTTGTACAACTGACTAGGTATCCCCCTTTCTTTTCCCCTCTTTCTCCCTCTCTCTTTTGTTCTCTCTCTCTGGAGTTTGACTCATGTGGACCATGTTAAAGACTCGTGCATTTGTTTACAGAGAAATTCAGAGCTGACATGATTTCTCAATTAAGTTCTCGTGAGCGCTGTTGTCTGCAGTGGTGATTAATGTAACCATGGGCCTGGCTCCTAGATAGAGGAACAACCAGGAACAACATCCTCCATTGTGCAGATGCTTGGATGCATCCCAAATGGCACCCTATTCCCTATATAGTGCACTACTTTTGATATAGCACTTCAAAGGCTTTACTAAAATGCAGGGGTTTACACAGAAGGAGCTCCATGTTTTCCATACTCAGTAGCAGTGGCGGCTGCTGAGGGGAGGATGGCTCATAATAATGGCTGGAACGGTGTGAATAGAATGGCATCAAAGACCTGGAAACCATGTGTTTGGTGTATATGATACCATTCCACTCATTCTGCTCCAGCCTTTACCACGAGCCTGTCCTCTCCAATTAAGGAGTCAGTAGTGCCCGGACTGTTGGCAGACTGCGTCAGAGAGCCTAGCTTGTCTTTTGTTGGTTTAGCAGTGGATTTGATCATTGTTACTCCACTTCCTGCTAACCAATACAACACAGTGAAATCCCCCTTAAGACCAGAGCAGCAATGTCCATCTTGTCTGGCCTCAATTCTAAAGAGGAGCCAGAGCCCGGCCAGCCAACACTGCTGATAAACATGTTTGTGCTAACATTGTCAATGACAAAATGTCAGCGCGTTTGGCTGAAAATGCAGGACTCAACACAAGCGTGGACGATAACAAACAGGCTCCCATCGTGCTTTAGAATCGTCCCCCCCCCCCCCAAGGTCTTGGCTACCGGCCAGGGGAGAGAGAGTTGTTTAAAATAATGAACCTAACTTGTGTATCTTTCACCTCAAAGTAGAGGGCAGACATCCACTCTGCTACAGGGTAAATAATCATTCCTCCCTGGGAGAACCATGAAGAGCCATAGACCTATACACTGTTTGTCTAAGGCTGTGTCCCAAATGGCTCTCTACTATTCCCTATATAGTGAACTACTTTTGACCAGAGCCCAATGCGCCATGGATGAAAGTAGTGCACTATGTAGTGAATCGGGTGCCATTTGGGACACAACCACTGTCTATCTAAATATGTACTGTTTGTTTGCTTTAGCGAAGACTGCTGCCTGTCTGGGTAGAAAAAACCCAGCAGCCTGACTAATCTCTCAGCAAGAAACAACACTAATAGAGTTAGTTCAGTTTACTCAAAGTCGTGAGTAAACATTGATGAAATGTAACAAGGCATAGTCAGATAAACAATGGTAAATCACAATAGGAAAAACAGGGTGGCGCCTCAAAGGGCTTAGGTCTAAAACCCTAGAAACATCACACTGTGCAATGTATGCAAATGCATCCTCAAATATTCCCATTTCGATAAATGACTTTGGTTGCGTCCCAAACGGCACCCTATCTCAACTCAGTGGTGCTGCTGTGGTAATTCATCCTACAGCAGCTAGTGTTGTGAACTGGGGGACTGACGGACTGTTAATTACAGATCCCAGCTCAGAAGCACATCAGCTAAATGAAAACTGGAGGGAGTGAGAACTCTTTGAAAGTTGAAACTCCTTGAGAGAGTCGGTGTGGTGTGTTTTGATCCTGACGATGAAAACATAACTGAAGCTTGGAAACAGTTTAGTCTCTATATCCGTATGGTGTTCTTCTAGTGAGCCTGTTAGATTTAGAACTCTACACTTCATCTGCTGCCAATGACGTAGGACGGTAGGGAGCCAAGTAGACCCCCGCTCCCCCTGTCGCACCTCCCCAAACACACATACTATACAGTAGGTCCACATCACAGAAAACAAACAAGTGTTCAGCCAAGTTAGTCTGGCTTCAGGGCTTCGGGGGCAGGCTGGGGCTGACTAGTAGAGGACCACAGCAAAATAGTCATTTATACAGTTTATGTCCAAACGCAACATAAGAAAACATGAATCCTGAAAACTGTATACAATTTAGTGCCAGGGAGCCCAGCAGAACACCCCCTTTCCAAATAAACAGTACAGTCCAGTACTTCCTGGTGCTAATAAGGGTATAGTTTGCAGTATGGATCATTGTGTGTCAAAATGAAGCTAAAACAAATACAACTTCATGGTCATTTCTATTCAAGCTTACAGCAGTAGTAGCTTTGCCATATATAACAACAACAACTGTGGATTTATCCTTTAAGACAACTGCAGGCCACGGTTATATAAAGGCTCATTCACTATGATCTTGTTACACTCCAGTGCCTGGAGTGAACACTAAACTGAGGCAGGGAGACAGACAGACAGTGCAGCCACTTTGACCATATATACTATATAGTGTCCAGCCTGTAAATAGAACCTGCGTCCCAAATGGCACACTATATCCCCATAGGGCTGTGGCCAAAAGTAGTACAGTATATAGAGAATAGGGGGCCATTTGGGACTCAAGCCACAGTTATAGCAATGAGAGACACCAGACAGACGACCTTTACTGTGTCATGTCCAGTCTAAATCAATAGGCTACAGTACACATTGAATCAGACCATTGGCCCATCTATAGCATGGAGGGAGGCAGGACAGGAGGCAACAGCTTACTGGTCTTGGGGCTTACGTAAGAGGATGAGAATTCAGGCCTTTGTCACTCAGTCCGCTAGCTCCAGCACACACAATCAGGTCCTAGACTGCGTCCCAAGTGGCACCTTATTCCCTATATAGTGCACTACTTTTGACCAGAGCCCTATTATTTAGTGCACCCATAGGGCTCTGGTCAAAAGTAGTGCACTATATAGGGAATAGAGTGCCATTTGGGACACAGTCCTAGCATAGTGCCTTGACAATACCTTTAAATGCAGTTCCTCATTGAACCTAGTAATGAATGGCTAGTAATTCCTGGGGTTTTTATTTGAATGGCTTATTTATTTGACCACCCAAATCAAAGCCCCCTGCTGTTGACTGAGTTCAGTTTCCCCAAGCAAAGCTAGAGCAACAACATACAGGCTAAGACACAATAACTGAGAGGTAACATAATCATGTTAGCTGCAAAGATGTCAGTTGAGTTGTCCCTTTCAATTCAGGCTTGTGTTTTCTTCCCCTGACAACAAGTAACATGCAGGTGGAAGCTTTGCTCTTTTCCCCCGTCCCTCGTCTCGCTGGTCCATCAAATTACTGCTGAAACAAAATCCTTACAGCGACGCAGTGAGAGACAAACACATTGACATTCAACACAGCTACAAAAATATCCAAACAAATTCATTACTTTAACAGATTCAGCCGAGGGCTTCTGCTGGCCATCACAAAATACCCGACATGGACGGTAGCTAGTTATCATCACAGACTCACAGGCTTAAAGGACAGGCAGGGAAAGGGTTTGATTTGAGAAAAAATAAGATAAGGAAAACTAATCCAACTGATACACCAGATAAAGTTTGATGCAATTTCAGGAACATAATAAACCATCAGATATCAGGGAAACGGATCAAGCCGAGAGAATCTTACAGCTTCATATGAGTTAAGATGATAGTTTGAATCCCAAATGGCACCTATTCTCGACATAGTGCACTACTTTTGACCAGAGCCATGGTCAAAAGTAGTGCACTATATAGGGAGCCATTTAAAAGGCCCAGTGCAGTCGAAAACGCGATTTTCCTGTGTTTTATATACTTTTTCCACACTATGAGGTTGGAATAATACTGTGAAATTGTGAAAATTATGATATTGCCCTTTTAGTGTAAGAGCTGTTTGAAAAGACCGTCTGAAGTTTCAGCCTGTTTTGGTGGGATGGAGTTTTGGCCTGCCTGCTGACATCACCAAGCGGTAAATTAGTTAATAGACCAATAAGAAAGAGAGTTCCAAACCTCTCTGCCAATAACAGCTAGTTTTCAGTTTTCCCCTTCTCACTCAGACCACTCCCAGACAGTCCTAGCTAAATTCTTGCTTGAGAAATTGCTCTTTGCTAAAATACTATTTGTTTCTTTTTGACCATTTTAATTGAAAACAATCACAGTAAGGTACTTAATTGTTACCCAGAAATGATTTGATATTGAGATAAAAACGTCTGCATTGGACCTTTAAGCCAAAGCCCATGAGGATCCTCTTCATTCAGCAGTGTTAGTACTACGTTCTTCATCATCCTTCACTGTTCCTCTCTATTAGATTGGATTAGTATAACTAATCTCAACACAGTGACACTGCTTCACTCCCAGAGTCTCTCTCCCACTGATATACAATAACCTTACCCTGCTCCTTCTTACACCAATGGTGCTTCCCAAATGGCACCTTATTCTATATATCGTGCACTACTTTTGACCAGAGAGACTTATTCCACTATACAGCGCCTTCGGAAAGTATTCAGACCCTTTGACTTTTTCCACATTTTGTTACGTTACAGCCTTATTCTAAAATTGAATCTACACACAATAACCCATAATGACAAAAAAGCGAAAACAGAAATACCTTATTTACATAAGTATTCAGACCCTTTGCTATGAGACTCGAAATTTAGCTCAGGTGTATCCTGTTTCCATTGATCATCCTTGAGATGTTTCTACAACTTGATTGGAGTCCACTTGTGGTAAATCCAATTGATTGGACATGATTTGGAAAGGCTGACACCTATCTATATAAGGTCCCAAAGTTGACAGTATTCCCACGCATAATAGACGAGACACGTGATCGTATACAAATGTAAACAAGGATTGAAATGATTATGTTTTGGTCAAATATTATATATCTGTTTAGGATTCTTGGGGTCAAATTGCAGTCTACAAATGAATGGTAATTATGTTCCGGCCCCCCGACCATCCACTCAAGAAAAACATCTAGTTGATGATCCCTGATATAGGGAATAGGGTGGCTTTTGAGATGCAGCCCATTTATTCCATGTCTACCCTCCCTTCTTCCATACTGAGTGACTCTCCTCTCTCCTCACCCCCCTGTTGTGTTGTCACTGAGGTGTGTCCAGCCCCGTGTACAATATTGAGTTTTAAAGCACTGACTCGAGCAGTTCCTAGCCCCTTGAGGTCTAGCTGTAGCTAGGGAGAACAGGACACAGCAGTGATGTAAGGCAAAATGATTTCACCCTCTCGGAGAACAACTGCAGTGACCTGACTTGGAGACAAAAGAGGAGAAAAGGAGAGGGGAGGATAGGGGAAAAGGAGAGGGGAGGAGAGGGGAAAATGAGAGGGGAGGAGAGGGAAAAAGGAGAGGGGAGGGGAGGAGAAAAGGAGAGGGGAGGATAGGGGAAAAGGAGAGGGGAGGAGAGGGGAAAATGAGAGGGGAGGAGAGGGGAAAAGGAGAGGGGAGGGGAGGGGAAAAGGAGAGGGGAGGAGAGGGGAGGGGAAAAGGAGAGGGAAGCTGAGGAGAGGTGAAAAGGAGAGGGGAGGAGAGGTGAAAAGGAGAGGGGAGAAGAGGAAGTTGAAGTGGAGACCTCACAGATACACTAGTGCCACCTGGTGGTCAGAGGAGAACAGAGGGACACCCGACGGTCGACCGACATCGTTGTATAATAATATAATATTATTATATGTATGTTGTATGTTGGCTTCTCAAACACATTGTTTGTGTCTAAGATGTACCCATTTTTTCAAAGCTTTCAGATGGATTTGTGGTCTCTCCCAATAACGTGCCACACCTTCCCCTTTACAAGAATCAATTACAATGTTTTTAAATTGTAGCATTGGTGAGACCAATTGAATGAATGAACACGGTTCTAAAAAATAAAACTGGACTTGAGCGACCATACCTGGTTTCTCTGACGTCTCACCATTGGTCTTTTGAAACTGCCTGACCAGGATGGGGGCAGGTCTGGGAGCTGGAAGACCAGACAACTCAGCTGCCTAGACACAGAGGAGATGAGAGGCAACACAATAAATACTGGGCTGGTTCAGAGCCTGGTTCCTCTCTAGGTTTCTTCCTATGTTCCTGCCTTTCTATGGAGTTTTTCCTAGCCACCGTGCATTGCATGCTCTTTGGGGTTTTAGGCTGGGTTTCTGTATAAGCACTTTGTAACACATACAATATGTACATGTAGATAGGGTAGAGATTGTATTCGAAGGAGATTAGATGACAACAGAAAGCAGAGGAGGAAGCCAATGGGACAACAACAGTCAAACACATTGTTTCGATGTCTCCATTTAGGAAGAGTAATCCCCAAGCACACACATAGGCTACATCCAGATCTGGTATCCCGACTGATGAGTGAGTTTCATGTGTCAACACACAACTAAAGAGTCCACTTTGCTTTTCTGGTTCAGAATAGCGGAAACAAAAGGAGGACATTATATTGATGTATGTTTATTATATATATATTTTTGAAACTCTGCATCATTGGGAAGGGCTAGTAAGCAAGCATTTCCCAGTAAAGTCTACACCTGTTGTATTCGGCGCATGTGGAGATTGTCGTTTGTCACTGTCAACACTCAACAACAGACAATTCTGTATGGAGGCTGCTGCAGCCAGCCAATGATTCACACAGGAGGACATCTGCACCAGTTTCATTGAAGATAAAGGCTCGTCCTCAATAGCACCCTATTGCACTAAATAGGGAATAGTAAATCCTCCTGATCCTTCATATGGGACTCAGTACATGTCCAAATCATCTCCACAGGCATGGCTGTACTCTCTGTATTGTCCTATGAGCCAAGTTGATATGCAAGAAGATTATCAATACTAAGAGGTTAGGCTGCCATTTATCTTGGGTGCCCAGCACATTGGCTCATCCTCACTACAGCTGTTGAAAGAGACTCTTCCCTTGTGCAAGTGTCCTCAAATCAACTATATCTTTAACAGAAACACAACATGGTGGAACCTTATCCTCACCTACCTAGCTGCCAAGAATAACACAGTATGAAAGACTAAGAGCCAGGTCTCTCTCTCTCTGTGTGTGTGTGTGTGTGTGTGTGTGTGTGTGTGTGTGTGTTTGTGTGTGTGGACGTGTTTAACTATACTTGTGGGGACCAGAAGTCCCCACAAGAATAGTAAACCAAGAGAAATTTGACCAACTGGGGACATTTTGTTGTCCCCACAAGGTCAAATGCTATTTCTAGGGGATTTAGGATAAGGTTAGAATTAGGGTTAGGAGATAGGGTTAGTTTTAGGGTTAGGGTTAGGGTTAGGAGCTAGGGTTAGGTTTAGGTTTAAGGTTAGGTTTTTGGGTTAAGGTTAGGGTTAGGGTTAGGGTTAGGGTTAAGGTTAGGGTACGGCTTAGGTTTAGGGGTTAGGGAAAATAGGATTCTGAATGGGACTGAATTGTATGTCCCCACAAAGTTAGCTGCGCAAGACTGTGTGTGTGTGTGTATGTGTGTGTGTGCGTGCGTGCGCGCGTCAGAGCAGATGCTGTGTACAGCATAAATGTGTAACGCTTGCCTGTGGTGCACTGTGGGAGACTGAGCCCTCCATCGGTGGAGGTGACATTGAGGTGTCAGGCTGAGGAGGCTGATATGGCATCTCCGGCTCCACATCCAGGTCTCTGATGTCAACTGGCCGCTGAGTGTCCTGGAAGCTCGTTGCGTCTGTAACATCTGTAGAAACACACACACTTTCATTCTTTATTATCCAAGCCTAGCTATCATTTCCCCACTAATAGAGATATACAGTATAATTTAGAATTTCATGAATTATTGCATCAATAACTGGTGCCCATGCAGCGCAGCCTCGAATGGAGAGGAAGCCCTGTCGTTTCAAATGCTCTCACACGTCCAAACACAAGGCGTTGCAGGGTGAAAGTGTTCCCAGATGACACAAAGCCACACAAACAATGGTTTCTCTAGCCATAACATGGGGTTTGAGATGCTTTTCAGGATAAGCCACAACAAAGGGGTTGTCAAACCGTTTTACAGGCTCTGTGTCAGCTCAGTGATTTTGTAATTGAGTCCCCAGTCTGTTGGTGTCAAGAGCTGCCCTAGGGGGGACAAATAGCCTAGCGGTTAAGAGCGTTGGGCCAGTAACTGTAAGGTCGTTGGGTTCGAAATCCTTAGCCGACTAGGTGAATAATCTGTCGATGTTCCCTTGAGTAAGGCACTTAACCCTAATTGCTCTTGATAAGAGTGTCTCCTAAATGATTAAAATGTAATTATAAACCTGGTGGTTCGAGCCCTGAATGCTGATTGGCTGAAAGCCGTGGTATATCAGACTGTATACCATGGGTATGACAAAACACTTATTTTTACTGCTCTAATTACGTTGGTAACCAGTTTATAATAGCGATCAGGCACCTCGGTGGTTTGTGATATATGGCCAATATACCACGGCTAAGAGATGTGTCCAGGTACTCTGCGTTGCGTCGTGCTTAAGAACAGCCATTAGCTATGGTATATTGGCCATATACCACACCCCCTCAGGCCTTATTGCTTAAATATAGTGTGCATCCCAAATTGCACCCTATATAGTCCATTGGGCCCTGTTCCAACCAGCCCCAGTTTGAGTGGAAAACAAAATTGCTTTGAGTTCTTCCTCTGTCATTAATATAGTCCTGTCTTTGCTGCTTGGATTGCAGGGTCCCCCCCTCCCCTTCTCTCTGGTCTGGTCTCCAAGCAACATTGGAGCTTTTTTTTTACCGTGGGTCGAGTTGATTTTGAGTTGGGTAAATATTGGTTTTGGCCAACACAGGAAGAGGCTAGGAATCTGCTATGAGGTTCTTCTGTCTGAGTGGACGCATAACTTAGACACAGTGTCTAAAGAGCCATGTGAACACAGAGGAGCATTCACAACATGTGACCGACAACCGTAACAGAATCGCATGTTGCTTTTCGACCACTAAGTAAATATTAGAGTATTAATTTCACGCTTTTCCATCCAGCTCTAAACTGGATATTTGTATTAGCTGACACACCAGTATGCAGGGTGTCAAACACTGATAAGTGCTGAGTTTTTATGAGAAGAGACCTAGTTAAGAGTGGACATTATGGTTAACGTACCAGGACTGGGAAACGTAGGACAATCTCTCTAGTTCCCCTGCCATACATGGTTATGATCACCACTATATCATGAGAATCATCATCAACTTTTTAAGAACCCTTATCCCACTTCTTTTTGTCTTTATTTGTCATTTCTTGTTCTGTGTTCTAGTAGTATTGTAAAGCGTCTTCGGGTCTGTCACGGTTTCGGCCGAGGCTGCTCCTCTTCCTTGTTCGGGCAGGCTTCGGCGGTCGTCGTCTCCGGAGTACTAGCTGCCACCGTTCTATGTTTCATGTTCATTTGGTTTTGTCTGTTCATAACACCTGTCCCTTATTTGTGTCTTAATTGTTTCCCTATTTAGTTTCGTGTGTTTGGGTCAGGTGTTATGCGTGATTGTTTTTGTCAGCCTGCCTCTAGGAGTTTGTGTCTCTCGTTATTGTGTTTTTTCGAGAGTTCGCACTGCGTGAGCTTTTCTTGTTGTTTCCGCACTTTGTTTCGTGCGTAATTGTTCACGCCACCCGGTTGGGTTGGCGTCTCATTATTGTGTTGGACTTTACTAAAGTTCTGTTGAAGTCCTCCTGGTTTCCTGCGCCTGATTCCCTACTTATCCACCCACACCACTCTGACAGAATCACGCATCACATCCATGGAATCAGCAGGAGCGACCGCGCCGACAGCCGAGATGGCTGAACGTCTTCGTGGTCAGGAGGACCGCATCAACCAGGTCTGTCACGCCCTGGAGGGGGTGATGAATACTCTGCACCGATGGGAGACCAGCGGGGTTCCCACACCTCCACGAACCGAACCAGCCCCATCGGTCAGCCCCCCTGTCTCATCTCCGGAACCTAGTGGGATTCGGCTCTCGCTCCCGAGGGCGTACGACGGCTCCACTGCCGGGTGTCAAGGGTTCCTGCTGCAGGTGGAGCTCTACCTCGCCACCGTACACCCGGCGCCCTCGGGACACGAGAGCGTCTCAGCCCTCATCTCCTGTCTCACCGGCAAGGCGTTGGAGTGGGCCAACGCCGAGTGGAGGAGAATGGACGCCGCTACCACGAACTATGCGGAGTTCTCCCGCCGCTTCCGTGCTGTGTTCGACCATCCACCAGAAGGGAAGGCGGCGGGGGAGCGTCTATTCTACCTCCGACAGGGGATGAGGAGCGCCCAGGACTTTGCCTTGGAGTTTCGGACCCTAGCGGCTGATGCAGGGTGGAATGAGCGGGCCCATATCGACCATTTCCGCTGCAGCCTCCGGGAGGACGTCCAGCGAGAGTTGGCGTGCAGGGACACTTCGTTGACTTTCGACCAGCTTGTCGACATGGCCATCCGGCTGGATACCCTGCTCGCCACCCGTGGGCGTCCCGGGAGGGGGGGTTCGCCCATTCCACTCTCCAGCACCTCCGAGCCGAGCCCTATGGAGCTCGGAGGTGCTGGCGCTAGGGAACGGAGGAGGAGGAGCCCGAGGGGACCCGGCCCTTGCACCAACTGTGGTCGTGGAGGGCACACCGCGGCTAGGTGTTGGGGCGGGTCCTCCAGTGAGGGAGAAGGCAGGTCACGCATTGGGGGGTCCCCCCAGGTGAGTAGGCGCCCTGCTTACCCAGAGCTTTCTGTCGTGCACCTAACCTTGCCTGTTTGTTTCCCACAGGTTGCACCTCGTTCCCAGCATAAGGCGCTGGTAGATTCAGGCGCAGCTGGGAATTTTGTAGATCGCCAGTTCTGTATAGAGTTAGGGATTCCCCTCCTTCCAGTGGATAAGCCTTTCCCCGTCCATGCCCTAGATAGCCGTCCGTTAGGGTCTGGGTTGATTAGGGAAGTCACAGCACCCCTTCAGATGATGGCGCAGGAGGGTCATGAGGAGAGAATTCAGCTCTATCTGATTGACTCTCCTGCGTATCCGGTAGTGCTGGGTCTTCCCTGGTTGATGACTCATGACCCTATTATTAGGTGGCGAGAGAAAGCTCTTAAAGGGTGGTCTGCTCAATGTGAGGGGCGGTGTCTGGGTGTTTCCATAGGGGCGACCTCGGTGGAGAGTCCGAATCTAATGCCAGCACTGCAGATTCCCCCCGAGTATGAGGATTTGGCACTGGCGTTCAGTAAGACTAGGGCGGCGCAGCTGCCGCCTCATAGACGGGGGGATTGTGCGATAGATCTCCAGTCAGGAGCAGCTCTCCCGCGGAGCCATGTGTATCCCTTGTCTCAAGAGGAGAGAAAGGCTATGGAGACGTACATCTCTGAGTCTCTTAGACAGGGATACATACGGGCCTCCGTTTCACCCGCTTCCTCAAGTTTCTTTTTTGTGAAGAAAAAGGATGGAGGTCTGCGCCCGTGTATTGATTACCGCGGTCTCAATCAGATCACAGTGAAGTACAGCTATCCACTTCCTCTGATTGCGACTATGACGGAGTCACTGCACGGTGCGCAGTTCTTTACAAAATTGGATCTTAGGAGCGCATATAACTTGGTGCGCATTCGAGAGGGCGATGAATGGAAGACAGCGTTTAGCACGACTTCCGGACACTACGAGTATCTAGTCATGCCATATGGGTTGATGAATGCTCCCTCAGTCTTCCAATCCTTCGTCGATGAGATTTTCCGGGACATGCAGGGACAGGGAGTAGTTGTGTACATCGACGACATTCTGGTGTATAGTCCTACCCGTGCTGAGCATGTAGCCCTGGTGCGCCGAGTATTGAGGAGGCTGTTGGAGCATGACCTATATGTCAAGGCAGAGAAATGTCTGTTTTTCCAGAAGTCGGTCTCCTTTCTGGGTTACCAGTTATCTGCGTCAGGGGTGAAGATGGAGGTAGACCGGGTGTCAGCTGTGCGTAATTGGCAGACCCCAACCACTGTGAAGGAGGTGCAACGGTTCTTGGGTTTTGCGAATTATTACCGGAGGTTTATCCGGGGTTTTGGACAGGTGGCAGCTCCCATAACGTCTCTGTTAAAGGGGGGTCCGGTGCGCTTGCGGTGGTCAGCTGAGGCGGACAGGGCATTTGGGAGACTGAAGGACCTGTTTACCTCGGCGCCGGTGTTGGCGCATCCGGATCCCTCTTTACCGTTCCAAGTAGAGGTGGACGCGTCAGAGGCCGGGATAGGGGCCGTTCTTTCCCAGCGTTCTGGCACTCCACCTAAACTCCGTCCCTGTGCGTTTTACTCAAAGAAGCTCAGTCCGGCGGAGCGGAATTATGACGTAGGAGACAGGGAGCTGTTAGCCGTGGTACAGGCCCTAAAGGTGTGGCGGCATTGGCTCGAGGGGGCTCAACACCCTTTCCTCATTCTAACTGACCATCGTAACCTGGAGTACATCCGGGCAGCTAGGAGACTGAATCCTCGCCAGGCTCGCTGGACTATGTTCCTAGCCCGGTTTGTGTTTAAAATCACATACATCCCTGGGTCCCAGAACGGGAAGGCAGATGCTCTGTCTCGGCGGTATGACGCAGAGGAGAGGTCAGTTGAGTCCACGCCCATACTACCGGAGTCTTGTCTGGTTGCTCCGGTGGTGTGGGAGGTTGATGGTGAGATCGAGCGGGCGTTACGCACCGACCCGAGTCCTCCACAGTGTCCTGTGGGTCGGACGTACGTTCCGCTCGAGGTACGCGATCGCCTCATTTGTTGGGCTCATACGTCCCCCTCCTCTGGCCATCCGGGTATCGGCCGGACAGTGCACTGCCTTAGCACGAAGTACTGGTGGCCAACGTTAGCTAGGGATGTGAGGATTTATGTCTCCTCCTGTTCGGTGTGTGCCCAGTGTAAGGCGCCCAGACATTTGCCCAGGGGTAAGTTACAACCCCTGCCTATTCCACAACGACCCTGGTCCCACCTCTCGGTGGATTTTGTTACCGACCTTCCCCCCTCACAGGGGAATACTACCATCCTGGTCGTTGTGGATCGGTTCTCTAAGGCCTGTCGTCTCCTTCCCATGCCGGGTCTACCCACTGCCCTACAGACCGCAGAGGCTCTGTTCACCCATGTCTTCCGGCATTACGGGGTACCCGAGGATATAGTGTCTGACCGAGGCCCCCAGTTCACCTCTAGAGTGTGGAGAGCATTTATGGAACGGTTGGGGGTTTCGGTAAGCCTTACCTCGGGTTACCACCCGGAGAGTAATGGGCAGGTTGAACGTGTCAACCAGGATGTGGGTAGGTTTCTGAGGTCATACTGTCAGGGCCGGCCGGAGGAGTGGGCGAGATATGTGCCCTGGGCCGAGATGGCACAGAACTCTCTTCGCCACTCCTCCACCCAACTAACCCCTTTTCAGTGTGTATTAGGGTACCAGCCGGTTCTGGCACCATGGCATGAGAGCCAGATCGAGGCCCCCGCTGTGGATGAGTGGGTGCGGCGCTCGGAGGAGACGTGGGACGCTGCACACGTCCATCTGCAGCGTGCCATACGTCGACAGAAGACGAGCGCCGACCTACACCGCAGTGAGGGGCCAGTGTACGCACCTGGAGATCGAGTCTGGCTCTCAACCAGAAACCTGCCCCTCCGCCTGCCCTGCCGGAAGCTGGGTCGGCGGTTTGTGGGGCCATTTAAAGTCCTGAGGAGATTGAACGAGGTGAGTTATAGGTTAGAACTACCTGTTGATTACAAAAATATTAACCCCTCGTTCCATGTGTCTCTCCTCAGGCCGGTGGTAGCTGGTCCACTCCAGGACTTTGAGATTGAGGAGACTCCTCCGCCCCCGTTGGACATCGAGGGGGCTCCGGCGTACACCGTGAGGTCCATCCTGGATTCTAGACGCCGGATGGGGGGTCTTCAATATCTCGTGGAGTGGGAGGGGTACGGTCCGGAGGAGCGGTGCTGGGTGCCAAGGAGGGACGTATTAGACCAGTCCCTACTGACCGATTTCCATCGGGGTCATCCTGCGCGCCCTGCTCCGCGTCGTCCGGGTCGTCCCCGAGCTCCGGGTCGGCGCACGGCTGGAGCCGCGCGTCAAGGGGGGGGTACTGTCACGGTTTCGGCCGAGGCTGCTCCTCTTCCTTGTTCGGGCAGGCTTCGGCGGTCGTCGTCTCCGGAGTACTAGCTGCCACCGTTCTATGTTTCATGTTCATTTGGTTTTGTCTGTTCATAACACCTGTCCCTTATTTGTGTCTTAATTGTTTCCCTATTTAGTTTCGTGTGTTTGGGTCAGGTGTTATGCGTGATTGTTTTTGTCAGCCTGCCTCTAGGAGTTTGTGTCTCTCGTTATTGTGTTTTTTCGAGAGTTCGCACTGCGTGAGCTTTTCTTGTTGTTTCCGCACTTTGTTTCGTGCGTAATTGTTCACGCCACCCGGTTGGGTTGGCGTCTCATTATTGTGTTGGACTTTACTAAAGTTCTGTTGAAGTCCTCCTGGTTTCCTGCGCCTGATTCCCTACTTATCCACCCACACCACTCTGACAGGGTCCTAGAATAGTCCTGTATAAATTCAATGTATTACATTATTACATACTGTATCTGGAAGGCAGGCGACGCACAGACACACACAGTCCCCCTAAGAGGCAGCAGCAGTGGTTTCCGCTGGCCTGGCCTGGCCTCTCTGTGCTCCCAGCAGCGCCTGATGGAGAATCCAGGCTGTCTGATTTCCCCTATGACTGAGGATAACTCAGTCTATCAGCACTGTGGCTCTGTTCTGTGGTGCCAACAACTCTATTCCCCCTCTCCTCTCTTTCTCCTCCCCTCTTCTCTTCCCTGTGTCCCCTTACAGCTGTCCTGCATCTCTAGTCCCCCTCCTCATACACATATCCTTTTATGATAATGAGATAGAGAAGTCCGGCCTTAAGCCTGTCGTTTGTGGGTTCTGGTCCAGAGTTTTAAAAAGGCAACATCTTTTGTCATTTGAATCCAACACATGTATACCCCAAACTCCTTTAGGCAGGTGGAACAGAGGTAGAATGGAAAGAGAAACATTGACTTGTGTTTCCAGTTCTACCTGCTGACTGCAGGGTGAGCTGTCCTGGGGAGGAAATGCGTCCCTGTCTGGTGTTGGGGTGAGGCTCTGTCCCCGTCCTGGTCACTGTCCTGTTCCTGGGCTGGACAGTGAGGGGGTGTCCAGTCACTAGCCTCTCCCCTGCAGGATGCAGTCTGGGTCTCTGGCCTTCGCTGACCTCTCCCTCCTCCTCTCCCTCCTCCTCCCAGGACCCCTGGGGATTGGGGGACACAGCAGTCACAGCTCACTAAGCTTTTGCAAAACATTTTACTATGGTCTGCCTTTCTGAACATGACCCTGCACTGCAAGGGCTTAATGCCTTGGCTGTTTGCTTGCCCAGTATTTATGTACACTGTGCCAAAGCTTTTGCTTACATTGTATTTCCTTGCATAAATGCTATGCACAAACACAATAAGGTCGCCTTACATTTTGGCATGCATTGACAAGTGGGGAAAACCTGCCACCTAGAGGCATTATAATGTCACAACAGGAAAAATATCAGACAGGTATTCAATACAAGTAGAATTGTGGACAGTAGTGACAACAGAAGGTTCCAGTATGTACAGAGCAGTGCCGTAGTCTGATAGTTACCTCCGGGTCAGGGCGTGTCTGGGTGACGACCCCCTGGTCCATCTTAGCCAATAGAGACAGGATGGGGTCGTGGTAGGCCGGGATGACAGGCCTCCTGACCTGACCCTCACTGGGAGGGTCGTAATCCTGAGAGACACAGAAAATAAATGGTTAGCATGTTTGCTATGAATGGGAGCCATTTTCACATTTGGTTTCACGTCAAATCGTCATTGCTAGACTGGAGGGAATAACAGTCAGTGCTAGTAAAAGAAAAGCAGTGGACACTGTGCCACTCACCATGTCCTGGACCTCCTGCAGGGAGCTGGAGAAGCTGTTGATCAGATAGGGAACATAGAAGCCTTCCTCCTCAAAGGCTGGAAGGAAACAAATGAAAAGGCATCGATGGGTTTGACATGATAATAATCACACTATGATGACTATGGATTTTACAATCTTAGGAATGAATGGCCTTTTGTAGACCACCTGACGTCTGAGTGATGTGTGTGTGTGTGTGTGTGTATGTGTTGAGGTGTGTTGTCGATCCATCTCACCTCGTGCTGCTGCCGCCTGGCTATAGCTGAGGAGCAGCTCTCCCTCTGAGATGTGTCTAGCAGCCGTGTCTGTCCCAGTGACTGTGGAACTACTGCCACTGCTGCTACTCTCCGACGATGACGAGGAGGAGGAGGAGGGAGAGGAGGGGGTCTGAGGCCCAGGTGGAGGTGGGGGTGGTGGGGTAGGGGAGCGGGGAAGCATGGTCTGGGGGCTGGAGGTTACAGGTGGGATTGGAGGCACACTGACAGGTTCCTCCTCAGCCACTGACATCACTCTGTAGAAAGAGAGAAAACGGAGGGAGGGAGGGAGGTAAAGAGAGAGAGAAAGAAAGAAAAAAAGAGAGAGAGAGAGAGAGAGAGAGAGAGAGGAGAGAGAGAGAGAGAGAGAGAGAGAGAGGAGAGAGAGAGAGAGAGAGAGGAGAGAGAGAGAGAGAGAGAGAGAGAGAGAGAGAAAGGTGAGATTAGTGGTACTCGGTCAGGTTAAAACCAATAACCATCTATGTTACATGCCTGTGTGCTATCTTTGTAACTCTAACTGCATTGTAATCTCCTGACAGCAGGGGGAGCTGTGGTACAATACAACCACACCAAGCAGTACATCCTACACTATCCACTATGTACCCTCATTGTCTTCTGAGGGAGGTCCCCACGCAGTTCCACCATTCAGAAAGACAGACAGATAGGCTGGCAGACAGACGTTCAGTCAGACAAACGGACAGTAGAATCAGCAGACAGACAGACAGACAGACAGACTCACAGTGGCTTGTTGTGCTCCTCCTGCTCCTCTGCAGGGCTGTGGGGTTGCTCCTCAGCCAGGGGCAGCGATGCCTCTCCCCAGGGTCCGGCAGGGCCAGAGGGTGGAGACACCACCAGGAGAGAGGGGGCTGGAGTGGTGACGGGGGTCACTATTAGCTCCGGGTCTGAGATCAAAGTGGAACAGAAATGTTCAGCATCTCATTGGATCGACTGGGGGTCAATCTATCATGGATAGGCCCAAGTTTTTCCTGACCACGTGACCTGCACAAGAAAAACTCTAGGTCCTTGCCTATAACTAGGGCCCTGAGTTTTCCCTTATCAGGTCACATGACCATGAAAAGCTCTGGTCCCTAGTCATGGACCACTCAATTACTAATACTATGGACTGCAGAAGGGGTCCGCAGAGTATGATTGTGTAATGGAGATACAGTAACTATGTCATCAGACCTGCAGGTGTAGAGGTGTGGGGCTCCGGAGGCTGGGGCTCTCTGGGTGACTGAAGGGGGGTCCCCTGCTCTGAAGCCTGTGGGGTGGCAAGGGGTGACAGGCCTCTGCTGGGGGGCCCAGGACTAATACTGGGCTCTGGGGTGGGCACTGGGGTTGGCACCAAGGGCTCCTACAACAGCAACACGATGTGGAAAGAAAGAATACAAATACAATAAAACACTGTATAAAAAGGAACAAATAACTCAGTGTAAATGTTAGATTAGAAATACTATTTCAAAATATATATATATTGTTCACATTGCACAACAAATGTCCAGATTAATACAGTAAAGACTGATTTCTTGATTGATTGACAGTACACAGTACCTCCTGTGGCGGAAGATCCTGAGGCTTGGCTGGTGCTACAGGTCTCTCCTGTCCCTCTCTCTGTCCCAGCATCAGGGCTATGGTCTCTGCCAGCGCCTCGTTCACATACTGTCTGATCAGCTCTGTGTCCACAGGAACACTGGCATCTACAAACAGCTGTAGGCCCTCTCCACCCGCAGCCTCCACTGGAACCACAGGGGTATGTTCAGTAGGGCACATCGTAGCAGAGCATTTTGCAACAGAAAACCTAAATCTGTGTTCTTATTGGACAGACACAATGTTTCAAAATGGATTCTCACTACTGAACATCTACTATTCTGGTATACCCATCTTCGCATACTAGATAATTGTAACACATTTTTTAAAGAATAGTTCACATCCAATAGCTGGGTTTATATTGCACGAAAGAACCCCAGCAGTATTCCCCTCATTCTTCTTACTGTTCTGTCTAGAGGGAAGTAGCAGTGGAAAAAGTGCTGACAACCCTCCAGTGATCACTGACTGGAGGCCTCATCTGCAAATGTGATACATCATTGATCTTTCTACTAGATGAGAGTGTGAGGCAACATCCCAAATGGCACCCTATTACCTATATAGCGCAGTATAAAGGGTGCACTATAAAGGGAATAGGGTGCCATTTGGGATACACCCTGAATCAATGGCCCGCTAACTTTGCTGCCACTGCCTCGCTTAGGTGTTCTGACTGCAATCCGTAGCAGCGGCGGGCAAGGAGAAGCAGAGCCGAGAAATGAGAAAGAGAAATCAATGATTTAATGAGAAACTGTATTATCGTATTGGGCTTCGACATGTCTTTTTCCATCACGACAGACAGCTCGCACTCAAAGAAACCATGAGGCATACATTTCAATGAGGCATGTTCTCTCATCTCACCCCGCTCCTCCGCACACTCCACTGGCTTCCAGTCGAATCTCGCATCCACTGCAAGACCATTGGGCTTACCTACAGAGCAGCAAGAGGAACAGCCCCTCCCTACCTTCAGGCTATGCTCAAACCCTACACCCCAACCCGAGCACTCCGTTCTGCCACCTCTGGTCTCTTGGCCCTCCCACCCCTACGGGAGGGCAGCTCCCACTCAGCCCAGTCTAAGCTCTTCTCCCTTCTAGCTCTTACTCTCCTGATAGCTACGTTATTGAGGAAAAATCTACTTTCTATGCCTGTGATATGTGGTTGTCCCACCTAGCTATCTTAAGATGAATGCACTAACTGTAAGTCGCTCTGGATAAGAGCGTCTGCTAAATGACTAAAATGTCAAATGTAAACGTAAAATGCATGGAGTTATAAACAGCCCAGCTACATTGCTCTGGTTCAACACCAAAGGAAGGTCAGCTACTTGAACCAAGGAAATGATGTATAGTTAATCTATTCGGTTTAAATGTCAGTCAATATCTCAGCATGTATATGAACCCCATTTGAGCTCATTATTTAAAAGCCTGAGGGACATTTTGGAATTCCTGAACATGAGGATTGTGGTTGGTGGCTTGACAAAGCCGTTGAGCTTTAAGTAGTGTTTAACATGTCATCGGAAGGTCAACAGCACTCACAATGCTACCACAGAGCCCCACTGACACAGTCCCTGTACCACATAGCCCCACACACAAATTCCCTGAGGAAAGTGGCTACCAGAATCTTCCAGGACACAGCTATGCTGTAATGCATCATTGCTGGCTGGGCTCAGCTCCACAAGCATGGGGTTGACACGACCAGGACTAGACCTTGGGATTAAAGGAATAATCCACTCAAAAACTATCTTTTGGCATTTTTGTTCATTAGTTTACATTTACATTTTAGTCATTTAGCAGACGCTCTTATCCAGAGCGACTTACAGGAGCAATTAGGGTTAAGTGCCTTGCTCAAGGGCACATCGACAGATTTTTCACCTAGTTGGCTCGGGGATTAGAACCAGCAACCTTTCGGTTACTGGCACAACGCTCTTAACCACTAAGCTACCTGCCCCCTGTTGATACAGTCTAAAAATGTTTTACATGTCAGCAACAAAGTTTTCAAGATATAAGATATTCAAAAAGCAAATTGTAACTTGCCACATCATCAGGATGAAGCGTTTTGCATCATATGATGCATTTTTCATCATCATGAATATGTGGCAAGTTACAGTAAGGGTTAGCATGACAAGTTAGCCACATCGAACTAGTGCTGTAAGGGAGTCGGGTTAAGGGTCATCATGCGATTAAGGTACAGTATACAATGTAACCAGTCCCAGTTCTCACCGATGTCAGAGGTAGCACTGTCCTCTGGCTCGGAGTGGGAAGGGCTCTGGTTCTGGGCGGGGTCAGCTAGAGGGGGTTGGTACATCTCTGAGATCATCCTGGCCATCAGCTGCTGCTCCACCCTGAACGAACAAACAAACCAGTTACTTCTAACTATCTCCCTTTATGTTGATCGTGAACTCTACATTGCCTGTTGGCATGAATTTGGTATTCCAAGTAGTACACCAGTAGGGATATTGGAATGTGGCTTGTGTATTCTGCATTCAAAACTGTGTTCAGCTCCACTGCGTGACATAATGCTATCCTCCTCACCAGTCAACTAGCCTGTTCTCCAGGGTCTCTCTGTGTTGGATGGAGCTGAGGACAGGGTCTGGGGGTGGTAAGGGCTCTGCAGGGTAGCAGGGGAACACAGGGCCATGGTACATTGCAGTAGGAGGAGAGGCCAGACCGTTGAGTTCTATAGGACCATTATGGAGCTCCTCCTCCTCCTCCTCTGGATCCTGATGGAAAAATACATTTTAATTGTAGGAAAAAGATGGGTGGGGAACGCTAGATGGATACACTAGTAGTAGGATTGGAGGCCCGAAAGGTTAAGACGAAAATGTGATTTGGGGTTTTAGATTCTTTGCTCTGGCTTTATGGTGTCCGTTTAGGTCACTGGTTTGCATTACTTTCAGATTCTTTGGCAGTAAAGACAGGGAAGGCTGTGTCAAGCTGGCTCTTCTATCTCATTTCCAGTGGAGAGAGAGAGAGAGAGAGAGAGAGAGAGAGAGAGAGAGAGAGAGAGAGAGAGAGAGAGAGAGAGAGAGAGAGAGAGAGAGAGAGAGAGAGAGAGAGAGAGAGAGAGAGAGCGAGAGAGAGAGAGAAGAGAAGAGAGAGACGAGAGAGAGAGAGAGAGAGACGAGAGAGGGAAAGTGGGGTTTGCCTGCCAAAAGGATACTGTTTGAAGGTTTCTGCTTCGTCAAAACATTTAAATAAATAAATAGCTAAATACTGTTAGGGCTGAGGCGTTTGGAAGTGGGGACACTCTAGTAGCTGGCGTCTATACAGGGTTGTGAAACACAACAGAGTCAGCCCGTGTTTCATGACCTCTCTTTTTTGGACTGGATGCATTGTTTTGATGGAGTTTTAAAAACACAACACTTTATTAGGTTGTTGGGAGACGTTAAAGAGGGACTGTAGGGAAAGATTGCAATTTTAAAAAAATAGCTTAATTATGGGCAATTGTTCCAGATCAAATTAAAACTTTTACAGCGTTAACTGTTTTGGAAATGTGTGCGTTACTTATTGGAACAATATCTCTGATCCAAATTACCACCATTTGAAACAATGAGAGGGAGGACTGAGTAACTAAGACAGCATCAGGCAGCAACTGAACTCTACTTCCCCATCCCAAATGGCACCATACTCACTATGTAGGGCTCTGGTCAAAAGTAGTGCACTATGTAGGGAATAGGGTGCCATTTGGGACACAATTTTCTACCATATGTAAAACTCCCTCTCTTAACATTATTTCCATTGCATATCAAATCCACACAAAGCTACATTTCAATCGGCCTTGTCTGAGAATGTAGTTCACTTCCCGACCAAAAGAGGGCACTGTGGAACCATAGAGATGTTCTTCAATTCAAACCCCCTTTTTATTCCAATATCTTTCTTTCTTTCTGACAGCTATGAAGCCTGTTGTTCTCCTAAGCCTCCTTACACAATCATGACAGCAGGAGCATTTCTATGTTAACTAACTATTTGCCCTTGTATGACCGCGAGGAACCTGCCTTAATGGCCGATTTGCTGCAGTGCTGCTTTGGATGCTTGTTAGCGGTGAATATGGAAAGCTTATGGCTTTGTGTGGATTTGCTGATTGAGGGGATGTATGTTTACATAATATACAAATTCCTAGCGAAGCCACTGTGGAGGGCTGCTAAAGAAAGACGGTGCATCAAACAAAGAAGAGAACATACAACAGCCATTACAATAGATGGTGAAAACACGTAGGCCTATTATTGACGAGAGATTTAATTAAATTAACATCCATTTATGATGATTAGAAAATGTTTTATTTTATTTTTTATTTTTAGATGCGTAGAAGTGAGGAGAAACTCAAAAAGCTCTGTGGCACTGCTCTGATTATCGCTATCTCATTGGCATGCAAAGGTGACACGCTGTATGAAAATCAGATAATAATCTATTCCTTTTACAATATTTCAATCAGCCTTCCAATGGGGTGAACGTCAAGGGAGAAGGAGGGGTTAAAAGTGTTGGAAGCAGCGGACCTGATTTCTTGATGCCCTTGAGCCGGTGACTCAGATACCACATACTTCCCACACACTCAGGACTGGTCACGCACGCACAGACACAGACGCGCAAATGGATTTTCTAATGGACTCTACCTGGGCAATGTCAGCAACCTCCAGGAAATGTGTTCCTGGGAAAACACTCTCCTCATCATCATGCGTTTCCTCCACACTCTGCAATAAGAGGATGGATAGATTATATTCCTTATTTAACCCGTGTCTAACTATGGGGGCAAAAAGAGAATTAGCACTCATTTCCCCCAGCTATGGCAGACCTGCAGTTCATGCTAGAAGATGACAAATGCCTGGAAAACCAATTATTATTGATAGGGTTGTGGTGACATTCTAAGATTTGTGTATGGCTATTGACCGTAAACAATAAACAACACCCTGGGAGAGAGAGTCAATTATGAAGCGAGTTCAATTCATCCTGCTTTTTATTTATAAAGTACAACCAATCAATCCAACACAATGGGCCGCCCCTCCAAATGGTGAATCTATAATAGGAAAAATACAACTCTTCTCCAAGCTCAATGATTTATTTCAGCATGGTAGCAGGAGGCAACAATACTAGCACCATTCAGCAGTGTTCATGATTGTTCCCTACATACAGTGCACTCACCTCATGTAGTGTGGTCTGAGAGGGCCATGAATCAAGTTGGAAAGTTGAATACATTAGTTTAATGACCTCACCCTGTCTCAGACTGAAACCACAGTGTTGGGCCGGGTTTATTCACATACTGTCCCACACAGCACAGGGTTACAGGGAAGCCAAGCCTCTGTATTCAGCAGAAAACACTGCCAAGACTGATTGAGAGGCCTGTGATACATGGGACATATGCACTAGTTGCTGTGGTAAACACACACAAAAACATGCTTGGTTCAAACACTTGATTAATTTCCCATTGACTCCCCTTGCAGCATGCCAGTAATATACCAAGTAGTAGAAGGTTGACTTTGAACAGACTGACACCATTTGATTGAGAGGTGCTATTAGGCTACCTGGTAAGGAATTTGGTCATTAAAAGGAAAACCATTGTGCTAATGCTGAGTTTGTTTGTTACCAGTGCAACTATTTATGTGCTGTGTTGTCTGTGTTGTATTGGGCCGTCTGTGTTGTATTGGGCCGTCTGTGTTGTATTGGGCCGTCTGTGTTGTATTGGGCCTTCTGTGTTGTATTGGGCCTTCTGTGTTGTATTGGGCCGTCTGTGTTGTATTGGGCCTTCTGTGTTGTATTGGGCCGTCTGTGTTGTATTGGGCCATCTGTGGCGGTAGAGGAGTGAGTGTTAGAGAACTGAGAGCTGCAGTGTTTGTTGTGGACTGCGGCTGCAGATAAAGCTCCAGGACTTGGAGGGCAGAGTGTTGCAGAGAGAGAGGCACAGAACCACACCAACACATTAGCATTCCACTCAGTCAGCACAGAGCGAGAGAGAGAGAGAGAGAGAGAGGGGGGGGGGGGGGGGGGGGGGAGAGAGGGGAGGGGGGGGGGGGGAGACTAGAGGGAGAGTGAGGGCGAGAGAGGTGGTGAGAGAGAAAGAGTCAGAAAAGAAAGGGATGGGGGATGGGGTGAGAGATGGACCGTACAGATCAGGCCAATATTGGCCAGGTGATTCACTACTTCAGTGAGATGGAGGAAGAAAAATAGCAAAATGTGTAACACAAACGCGCACACACTTAAAATACACACTCAACTGCTCAGGATGCTAGAGTTCATAGAAAAATAACAAATACAGGCCTACAGTGTTCTAAACTAAACAGATAACCAAAGAACAGCGGAGCGGAACAAACATTTTTAATCTCTCGAAAGTAGCCCTCAGACAGTGTGGAATGCTAGAATATCAAGTACATAGCAAGACATGACTCAACTGAAGGAGTGCTTATGACAAAGACATTACTGCCAGGAGGGTGATAGGAATGAGAACACATTTAGCCCACCAGCGAAAACTGGATAGCAGACTCCGGGAATCTTTCAGCAATTCTAGGACATAACCAAAGCTGCAATCAGCATAACTGGTATGTGACTGAAGCAGTATTGTGAGGAGGAGGAAGGATGTTGGCTAGGAATGAGGCTCATTGCAGCAGTCAGGCATCAGCCATAGCAGTCAGGCATCAGCCATAGCAGTCAGGCATCAGCCATAGCTCTACATCACTGCTTTGTCCTCGCATCGACTGACTCCCAGTGCAAGCACAGAGATTGATAACCCACATCCGTTGCCAGGCAACCATGTGTGCCTACCTGACTGGTGCAGAGTTGAATTTGTAAGAGAGAGTGAGTGGCCGGGGCCTTTAAGTGTGAGCAGCACTGCAGCCTGGCAGGCTCCACCACAAACTTAACAGTGGAGGCTGCCGAGTAGAGGACGACTCATAATAATGGATGGAACGGAGCGAATAGAATGGCATCAAAGACCTGGAAACCATGTGTTTGGTGTATTTGATACCATTCCACCTACTCCGCTCCAGCCTTTACCACGAGCCCGTCCTCCCCAATTAAGGTGCCACCAGCCTCCTGTGAGTTGTATTATACATTCACTTCCACACACACTCACTCCATGCAGACATGATATAAATACTTACGTGGAAGCAACACACCATTGCACACACACACATCTCATTGCAAAAAATGTGCTGTGCTGCATGAAGAGAAAAACCCAGCAAATGAATCTCTCCTATAAGCCATCAGCAGCCCCCGTGGTCTGGAGCAGGGCCAAGCTCAGATGGCCAAACAGCCAACTACAGTATATCCCCTGAATGGTCTGCCACCAGCTGCTATATGGGAGACATTATAGGCCCTCTGCCCACAACACACATCACAGCCAGTCCAGCATGGAAACATTACTGAGGAAGGCTAGCGGCGTCATGAATCACACAGTCTGGGAGAGACTGTTGTGTGTCCCAAATGGCAACCTATTCCCTATATAGTGTATAGGGCTCTGGTCAAAAGTAGAGCTCTACATAGGGAAGAGGGTGCCATTTGGGACGCTCCTGTGGAAACGTTAGCAGGCAAGAAACACTGGTGTCTACAGAACAGAGCAGGCATCACGGCAGGCACGGACAACCCCAACCCCAGCCCCAGCCCTGGGACCACTCCCATACGGATACTGTTACACCTCTCACTCAATGCTCCTTTTGTACCCCAGTCTGTGGACTCAGCAAGAAGGGAGTCCCGGTCTGGGGGCAGGGGCAAGCAGGGGGTCGTCTTTTGTCCTGGGGAGTGTGGAAAGGAGGGCTGAGCCAGACACACAGGAGGGCTGAGTGCAGTCCTGGCTGAGTGCAGTCCTGGCTGCACACCGTAGTACAACCACACGTTTCACTGGCCTGGTCTAGATGCTGATTGATGGATGTTTTTGAGGCTGAGCCCATTACTGCATAATATTGGGCCTTCATGTAGCTGGCTAGGGGGTGGCTAGGGGGTGGCTAGGGGGTGGCTAGGGGGTGGGTGGGGGGAGAAAAGTACGGCACATTTCAAATTGAGTTGACGCATGTCATTGGGGTGTTACTGTACTGTACCGGTATGTCTGGAGATAGGACAGCAGCAGGAGGAGGTGGTGCTGATGGAAAGGGAGCTGGGCTCAGGCTGGGGGTTGGAGTTGGCGTGAGGGGTTCGATATTCACACTGGGCTGAACCTGATGCATCCAGAGAGAGATTTCAGATGCATGATTAAAATATAGACTACACAGTCCACACAACGATGCCATTACATTTGGGATGATCGTCCACAACCAGGCAGATATTGAGGCTGACTGATGAGGCTACCCTTACTTGCACTTGGAGCTGTGGTTGTCTTCTCCTAGGACCAGACACCACCTCTAGGATGGCCACAGTGGGTTTGCGGGGGGCAGGGGCCGGTCTGGGTGGGGACGGGGGCATGGAGGTGGTCACCATCACTGGCCGGTCACTGATGAGGACACGGGAGGGCTGCGGGGCCAATCCATCCACTCTGGGCTGGCCTGGAAGTAGAGAGAGGAAGACTTGTCAAATACTGACTCAATTAGACACACAAAACACAGAGACAGCAGACACTAACATCAAACTAATATAGTATGCTGAAGAGGTATTTACTGGTAAGTGTCTAGGCAATACTAATAAACACTGGTGGTTGGTTATATCATGGCACTGAGCTATCGTAAAAGAAAAGTCACCAAGGGAAAAAAAAGCAGTTGCTTATTGTTTCAGGTACTAGCGCATGATGATACATGCAAAGGGGGGCTTTAATATCGCAGCTAGATGCACTTGAGCAGAGAGAGGGGTACGTCTCTCTCTCTCCCTCTCTCCCCTCCACTCTCTGTCTCTCCCGTCCAGCTCATAGAGTATATCCCCTTGGTGCAGAGCAGATAATATCTCAACCGTATTTACACAACATGGGGTAGTGAACAGTGAAGAGCATTACGTGCTGGGCGTACTAACAGGAGAGCTGCTCTCCTCCCACGGCTGGCTCTCTCTGCCTGTGGAAAGCACCAAACACAGTGAGCACACCTGGCTCTTATTTCTCCTGAGCTGCTGTTCTGTTTCGTTGTGGGAGGAGGAGGGCTGTAAACGACATCCTAAATAATAACTCTCATGCATCACTCTTTTGTCCTCCACACATCTGCCAACCTGGGACGCTGCCCACTCTACCCGCTCTGCTCGGCGCTCGCAAAGATTGGCATCTGTTTGGTGAGGAGGAGTTGGGGGAAAACTAGCTAGCTAATAAGTTCAGACAGAGTGTAGTTAGGTTGTATAATTTGTTATTGGACTCGTTGGTGAAGGCTTCTGTTGATGAGTTCCTCCTATTAAGTTATTAAGAGACGTGGACATGCAGTCCACCCCAACCACCACCACCAGTGTAATGTAACACACAGGATTACATTAACCTAAATCTGCTCAGAGCAGAGCGGACTACAGAAAGCTGTTTATCCAGCCCTGAGCCCGTAGCTGGGGAAACATAAGCTTTATGATTTCCATCATTTGGCTGAAGGACATCCAAAAGGGTGGCTTCTTTTTTTGTTAGTTAATTCAGAGCTAGTGGCTCTGAATCATTTGGAATGCGCAAGTATTTTTATATGGAAAACACGTGGGAAGGTTTGGTCGGTTGTGTAACGGCTGGCAGTATAGGAAAACCATCCCAGCTAATTTGCAGTCGTCCTCCTCGTCCCAAGACTGGCTGAATTTAAATAGAACTGGAAGGAGCACAAAGCCAAAATAACAGATAATGAGAAACAAGGAACAGATGAACTGAGGCAGAATGTTGGTATTCAAACCCAGTGACCAACAACATGCACGAGATGGGAAACAAAGAACTCAGTGTGTGGAGTGATTGTAGGGAAGTGTGGCCTTGCTGCTGTACAGTGATACACTACGGGGTTCACGAGCAAGAAAAGCAGCACACAGATTCCAATGTGTCTGACCAACCACTCTGATAGAAGACTTGTCTCCAGCACAGCACATACACAATGGGATGAGGCTACTTCTTTTACACCTTGACTGCAAATCCCAGAAACTTCTTCTTGCACAACTTCCTAAAACAGGCTTGCAGGGGAGGGCAAACTGCCCTGCAGTGTTAATTGTGTTAAGTGTGTGTGTGTGTGAGAGAGAGAGTGAGAGAGAGAAATAGAGAGAGAGAGAGAGAGAGAGAGAGAGCGCTAGCTGGCTGTCCTGAGCTGTGCCTCTGTGTGTCGGAGGGAGTGAGAGTGGGAGTGGGAGCATCTGCAGCAGATGAAAGGGTTGGCAGGCTCCTGGAGGCCTCCACCCTCCCCGGGGATTCACAGCCAGAGAAGAAGAATTAGGCCAGCTCTAATCTATACCCTCACAACGTGACACACGGTCTCTGACTAGCTAACACACACACACACTCAGACCGACTGCTCTGCTCTGCTCTCCCAGTCCTAGCCCCTTCCAGACATACTAAGTTACCATCCTCATCAGTTATTCATGGTCTACTTTAATCTCAGGATGAGTTATTTAGGAGTGGCAGAGTCTGGTCTAGTGGTAGTGCTGTAGACTCCAGACCACACTTGCCCTCTGTCCCTACTCTCGGTCTCCCTCTCTACCTTCCGACTGTAAACAATACAATCCTGAAAACAATAAAATCTATAAACAAAATCCGCCCCAAAAAAATTGGGAGAAAAAAAGCCTTAGTTAGGCAGGATCCCTACATGGTACGTACAGGGTACTCTACTCTGACTGGCTGCACTGGGTTCACCGTCTCAATGCCGCCAAGAGCATTCAAATGATACACCTACATCTGAAATAGGAAGTCCTACATAGATATGGTGATACCATGGATATAGAAACACTATAAGAGAGTTGCATGTAGTACACATGTATAATATTGATTATGTGCTGCTATAGGAGAAAGTAATTATCAGAATTAGCCACTCCCCAGACTTATAGATTCAGATTTTAGACTGCATTACAGCTAGACAGTTTTACTATGGGACTGCATTACAATGCTGTGGTGGTAGGAATCTGCCAAACCCCCATGCAGACAGACACACTGATAAATTGGCCTTTATTGTCCTTGAGAGGGAACCATCAAGACACTCCCAAATAAGCCCCAACACTAACAAGTGTGTGTGTGTCCCACTAACAAATGAGAATGAGTCTGTATTAGAGAGTAAAGGAACTTCTCCCTCTCTCAAACACAGTAATGAGAGAGACACCGCATTGCAGATGCTATTACCGGATTTCTTTTGTTCTCTCTGTCTGAAAAAACCCACCAGCACTTGAGGTCAACAAAGCAGACAGGAGACAAGAGACAAATGACCTCCCGCTGTTTGAACAAAAATATTTGATTTAATTCTATTTGATTCCATTTCGGATACGACGCATCATTAATTTTACTCGGCTGCTGGCCAATTACAGGTTATTACTGTAGTTCCTATCAGAATTGCTCATTTAGCTTTTTGTGTGTGGAGGTGCTGATATTTCAGAGAGGATATAATCATACGTTTTGAAGCTAAAATAAAATAAACATATTTCTCAAAATAATGATACAAATTCAACAAATGTTTCGAGAAGTTTAGATGAGGTCATTATCATTCAAGAAAAGGAAAATGCTATCTTGTATCATTTCAAAACACTCGCTATCCCAAAAGATTTTAATAAGCGAAATTACTTTTGAGAAACTAGTCAATCAGATGCAGCTCCTCAAAAAATGAGAGAGCCAGGTTCTACCTGTAGTTTATTCAAATAGAGCTTTGGAATTAGAGAGAGGGAGAAGAAGCTATAATTAAGCTTTAGACTGAGAAGCTTCATTGTAATACTAATTAAGTCCTTTAGATTCCTCCTCTCCCCTCAACATTACTTTGTGCCAGTTTGTGTGTGTGTTTGGTGTGTGTGTGTGTTTGGTCTGTGTCACAATCCAGTGACCTTTCAGCTGAGAGAGGACGGAGATGAACAGAGTGGCACACCACGCACTGTGAGGCACCACACTCCTATAATAGGTCCGTCCGGGAGCCATTTAATTGCAGTGAGGAGCTAGATGGCCTTTGAGGCGAAGCCAACAAACAGTAAAGAGAGGCGTGAAAATAAGACCGATATCAACAAGAGAGTTGTGTTAGCTAGCTTCCAATGGGAAAATTGGAATCGGAGTCCGAGTCAGCACAGTAAGGGTCGGAACGGTAGTGTAAAAAGGGTATATCAGCCCCAAGTAGAGTCCAGTCTCACCCAGTGGGATGGCCATGGGGATGAGGTACCCCTCCAGCGAGGTCCCAGGGTGGTACTGGGTTCCCCCACAGGGTCGGGCTGAAGATGTACTGAGGTTCACTGGGTACAGCCGGGTACAGAGGAGAGGAGACTGACTGTCCATGGGGGAGACTGGTCTGGGTCTTAGATGACTTCATCTTCACCCCTGGAGGGCGGGAGGGAGGTGAGAGAGGTGAGAGAGAGAGAGAGAGAGCGAGAGAGAGAGAGGAGAGAGAAGGAGAGAGTGTGTGATTAAGTGCTAAAGAAAGAGAGAGAGAACACGTCACATGAACAACTGTGGGAAAACATAAGCCTGTTGAGATCTCTGGTGAGCCACTCACCTCTCACACTCTCTACCACTCTTGGCCGCGGGGCTTTGGACTTTGGGGAGGGAGAGTTGAATCGGAGATAGGGCCCTTTCTTCAGTGTCCTCCGATTGCCTTCGTACAGAGCCTTCCCATACAGTTTCACCAAATACTCCTCTCCACCTTGGTCTGACTTCATCTCTCCACATTGACTCTGTAATAAGAGGAATACACTGTCAAACACTACTACACTACTGTGTGTGTGTGTGTAACCGATGAAGGTACTTTCTGCACTTCAGCGCCACTGATCCTTGTACTGAGTGATGTTTTTCTCAGCCTCAAGCTATTTTCTGTTGGACGTTCAACCTTATATCTGAAGTGCTGTCTGTGTGGCTTCCTGTGTTTGAGTAATAAAGAGAAACCCTAACAGGTTTGTACACAAAGTAACAGGCATGGATACTGCACGGACCTGTATAGAAGACCTGTATAACTGCATTATCTTGTTTATTTTCTTCTTCTCTGGCATTTCACATGCTATATTGCTTATCTATATTCCTACCTTTATTGGGCATTGTTGGGAAAGAGCTTGCAAGTTAAGCATGTAACTATAATGTTTTACACCTGCTGTATGCTGTGCATGTGACCAAAAAAAATTTGAAACTGTAACTTGAAAGTGGATAGACCAGACACAGGGGTAAACTAAACTAAGCACTGTCCTGGTTGCTAGGTTCTGTATGCTGTTCCTTGGGCTCATGGCAACACGGTCGGCCCATTAAGCAAAAAAGGTATGCAGCTTGGAGATAAGCAGGCTTGTCCTTTGTCTGGTTTAGGTGTTGTGCTTCTTATCAATGTGGGAGGAAACATATGGGCAGTTAGAAAACCGCATTTAGTTAAATAGATGTGGCGGAAGCTTCAGAAACGCTGTGTTTGTATCCAGATGGGAAGATTAGCAAGACGTGACGGAGTGGTGTGACCACTTTGTTGTTTGGGTCCCGTCGATAAGTCAGTCAACACTAAAAGCAGAAATAGATTACATAAATAAATACAGGGTTTCAGAAAAGTTATGTTCAACGAGACAGTCCAGATACGGGCTGTGATTGCTAATTGTCTGTTGATTAGTGAAATGAAGGGGGTGTATGGTTCAGTGCTGTCATGGGCTGAATTTATTGGGTTGAGCTGAGAGGCTGAGAGCTGAGAGGCTGAGAGCTGGGAGGGCAACAGTCGTCTTTGTCCGAAATGGCACCCCATTCCCTATATAGTGCACTACTTTTGACCAGGGCCCTCGTCAAAAGTAGTGCACTATATAGTGAATAGAGTGTATGTTCAGTGCTGTCATGTTGCTCACCGCCTGTTGAGATGGAGATGGTCTCAGCCTCACATTGGGGCCAGTGGTATGTTTGCACTTGTTGATCAGCTCCTCGGTGCTTTCTGTCTGTCCTCTGGCTGCTCTCTGACTGGGCTTACTTCCTGCTGTTCGAGGTCCACCAGTCTGAATCCTGCTCTTCACATCATTAAGCCTGGAGGTGATGATGTCCTTCTTGGTCCCTCTGTCTTTCTGGAGTAACACGGCAGCAGCAGTAGACTCTTTGACTTTGTCTTTAGCTCTCATCTGAGCAACAAGGTGTTCTTTTGTAATATCGGCCTGCAAAAAACAAACAAGCAATGTCGGATTTACTTGAGGACAGCATTTAGTGATCTATCTTGGGATAGTCATTCGTCAGAAATGGTAATTGTCTTCTTCAGCTAAGACTGAAACTCTCTCACAAAGACGATGGATTCAGATGCTATAGACAAGTAATAGACAACAGACAGTGTTTTCCGTCCAGCCGTGAGACACAATTGCACCCTATTCCCTTTATAAAGCACTACAAAAGTAGTGCACTATATAGGGAATAGTGTGCCATTTAGGGACGCATACCATGAGCTTAATTGAAACAAATGTATTCAGTTTCAGCAGATGAATTATATAGATATTTGGACTTGAGGACCTGAAAGCTTGGGGACATTCATTTGGCACAGCCAGCAGCCTTTACCGCTGCTCAAACGCTCTTATTTTTATGGAGCATTGCTCTTCTACCACAGTGAAATTGTGAACCTACCATCAACTCCTAGTTTGAATCAATTCTCAGCTGTGCCAGAACGCAATTTTCGAAACTAGTAAAAAAGAGCAGAAGTTGGAATTCTCACTCTTCTGCAAAGCCTATAAAAAGGGCGGCTGAACTCAGTCCCACCTGGCTTTTGTGGCCGAGATATTTACTTTCAAACAGCACGGAGCATTTAAACCAAATTGCATGGATTATTTAGATCTCTCAGAGGAGGACTAAGGGTTGAAAATAAGTTGAAATACTTGACTTTAAAAATATATTACACTTAGCTAGTTTTCTGGATCGCATACAACTCTGGCATTTTACTTAGAGTAATGTCAATGTAATGTAATATCTTATGGGGTGTTCATAAGATGCTTTGATCTAGCATTATTAAATTGGACATGAATGTTGTGCAATATATGCTGATCCAACTGGACCAAAAACAAAATGGCAGTTGGAACAAACCAACTGAAATTACTCAAGGTGACTTTCTGACCGACTCACCTGGATATCCTTACTCAGGGCGTTGATCCATGCATCCACTGTCTTCTTAATCCTGACTTCTTCTGTGGTGTCCCTGTAACACAGGGAACACATGGATGCTTTACCATGCTGGAGCTGCAGCCAACCTCCCTACTTACCAACGGACTGTACATACAGTATACCCTATCCACACCACATAACATCATTCATACATTATTGCTCTTCCCAGGACACTCAATCATATCAACGTGAACTCATAACACAGCATTTATTACTTCCCATGTGAGGAAACACTAACAAGACTATTAAGTATGTGTCATAATAACATGAATGGGTGTGCTCTGTTCGTGTATACTAAACTAGTAGCTATCTATATCCACTAGACTAGAGCATTGTCTGTCTACCTATATGAACACACACTTGGAAACAGATTATCTAGTATATCCCTAATATACTGTACTGTGTCATCATCACAACAAATCGCTATACTTTTTTTCTACTCCCATGTTATTTTTACTTCTTATTTTATTTGTTATTCACTGTGTCACTATTTCAATTTTTTATTTAATTTTTATTTGATCTTTACCGCCGCATTGTTGGATAAGGACCCTGTAAGTAAGCATTTCACTGTTAGTCTAAACCTGTTGTCTACGAAGCATGTGACAAATACAATTTGATTTGATTTGACTTTATTACATTTACATTTTAGTCATTTAGCAGACGCTCTTATCCAGAGCGACTTACATGAGCAATTAGGGTTAAGTGCCTTGCTTAAGGGCACGTCGACAGATTTTTCACCTAGTCGGCTCGGGGATTAGACAGAATAAGGAATAAGACCTAGAGAGAGGGTACTGAGGCTTGACAGATGCGTACCAGAACTCAGAACAAATGCAGCAGCTCAGTGAGGAAAGCCCACCAGGGCTGCTGTGTGTGTGTGTGTGTGTTTACGCGAGTGTGTGTGTGTGTACGGGCGTCAGCCAGGCAGGGAGGCAGCTAGCTCCTCATTTTGATGCTGAGGGGAGAGTCTCTGTCTCTGGGCAGAAAAATACAGTCTCCATTTCCCTCTGAGATCCTGAGGAGTGAGAGATGGGGGGTCTGGTCTCTGTGAGGTGAGCAGCTGGCTGGAGTGGGAGGGGAGAGGGAGAGTAGAGGAGAGGGAATTTAGCTTCATTGACACTGACCCAAACCTCATTACCCATACAGATGAAGCTACCCTCCATGGCTGCGTTAGCTCCCATCCCTGGTGTGTGTCTCTTTGAGTGTGTGATCTGGGATGGATCTACCTAATCAGGCGTTGACTCCAGACACATAAAAACATTAAAAAATACTTTTAAAAAATGGTCACAGGTGCAGTGAAATGTGTTGTTTTACAGGGTCAGCCATAGTAGTACGGCGCCCCTGGAGCAAATAAGAGTTAAGTGGCTTGCGCAAGGGCACAACGACATATTTTTCACCTTGTCAGCTCGGGTATTCAAACCAGCGACCTTTCGGTTACTGGCCCAACGGTCTAACCGCTAGGCTACCTGCCGCCCTTGTGTGTCAGTCATCAGTGCAGCATGTGACCTGCTGCGAAAACAAACCTGTAGGACTATTATTCTCAAATGTTCAAAGCCTCCCATTATGGTGGTATAACAACACCATGCCTGATTATACTTTTTTTGTAACAGGCTTGTCCATGATGGCAAACGTATCAACTGCTGGACAAAATTCAATGTCAAACACATTTAAATGATAGCTGAAAGTGGAGGCCTGGGAATCATACAGCCAATATGCAACGATTCATACAGATGGTAGGAAATTACCAGAAATAGGCCTAATGATAGTTATGTCTGCAGACATAATATCCCCATTGGAACAGCATCCGGAAATTCTCTGGAATATGAAAAACAGAAACAGTGCGTCACTGTCTATGAGGTCTAGCAGAGAGAGCACTACTACTCAACTATTCTGTAATCCAACGGAGAAACAACAACAGAGAAGACTGTCTGAACCCCTGCCTGGAAATGTTTTGTTTGAAAAATTCAAACAACTGTCTGTGCCAACTGCCATGGGTCGTGGACAAATGACTGTCTGCTTCTAATTTACAGACAGGGGATATCAGGATTCATCTTTAAGCCAGAGACAACATGTGTCCAGCAGCAAAATGCTGAAGAAGCCAAACAAAATAAATGAGAGGAAATAAATCTAATAGAGAACAGTTTTCGAAAAAGAACAAAAGAGCTGTGGAGTGGTGAAGTAGTCCACCAACTCTAGGAACACAGACACTGCAGACAGACAGAGACGGGGTGAACCAGGGCCAGGACGCCCATCCAAGTGTGTTCTCACTGAACCCACCTGGTGAGATATAACACAAGTAAACAGAGCACAAACTGTCACGCTCGGTTGAGCAATTGAGATGGAGGCACATTTTTGTTTGCAAATGGCTTCATTAATATGTTGGGTGGAAATGGATGGCACGCATTAAGTCTTTCCCTGCCTCGTTTTGCAATGTCATGCAATACAAATGACTGAATCCATCAAGCAACCAACCAACCATCCAGTCACATTTGAGGGTGATGTCAACGTCAAGCCATCCGCTTCAACTCCCTCCCCCTTACCTGAGCATCTGGCAGCCCCATCCCAGTCCTGTGACCTTTCCAATGAAGGAAAAGATCAACGCCATTATGATGGGGAAGGGGAAGGGGGGGCCGGGGGGCAGCTGCATCAATTAGTGTGTTTGTGTTGTCATGCTCTGACATTAGCTCAGAGCTGATTGCGGCCGGCTGCCATTTTGGAGATGATTAGCATACAAGCTGACATTTGGGCTCAGGGTGGTTTTAGTTATATTATAATACGAGATGGAGGGAGTAGTGTCCCACTGAGCCAACATAAAAACCTGATAACACATCATACCGTAGTAATGTGTGTTGTGTGGTTGGTATGTGATGACATCATCTGAGTAACCTGTTCACTGTACTTTCCTTTATGTTGAAATTCTATGGTTCCTCTCTTTGCCCGTTCTCTGGACAGATTTATCATTCACACCATGTATAATCCATAGAATTAGAATATTATAAAATTAGAATAGCATATTGAGTGAACCCATGCGACTCAGTGAAATTGCTGTGGTCTGAGAAGCTTTGTACCCTCTAGTAATTATATTTCTCTGGTGTAATCTAGCTTCTTCAGTGCGGGAGGGAATTAGAACCTATTTCTATGATTAGAAGAGCATTGAAAACGCCTGTTATATTATGGCTGTAATGAGATAACCTTTCATCCAGAGAGAGACTCAGTATCATTATGCTGCAGACTACTCCTTCTGAAGGACCCTGTCTGTGTGCTGTGGACGTAAGGCAGCCAAACCTTCTCCATTTCAATGTTTAAACCACTGCTTCCGCACTCCATTAGAGAGAGAGAGAGAGAGAGAGAGAGAGAGAGAGAGAGAGAGAGAGAGAGAGAGAGAGAGAGAGAGAGAGAGAGAGAGAGAGAGAGAGAGAGAGAGAGAGATCAGCCTTGGGTGCTGCATCGCAAGCCATTAGGCAATCTCACCCACTGTGAACCTTATTAATGTCACAATGAATCTCTAAGGCAAGAAAAGGCATCGCTCCGCCACCACTCTATAAGATGAATGCAACGCTTCGGATGTGTAGCGGGTATTTATACTGAACAATAATATAAACATAACATGCAACAATTTCAAAGATTTTACTGAGTTACAGTTCATATAAGGAAATCAGTAAATTGAAATAAATGCATTAGGTTCTAATCTATGGATTTCACATGACTGGGCAGGGGCACAGCCATGGGTGGGCCTGGGAGGGCATAGGCCTACCCACTGGGGAGCCAGGCCCAGCTAAACAGAATGAGTTTTTCCCCACAAAAGGGCTTTATTACAGAAATAAATATTCCCCGGCAATTTCTGCTATCTTTTATTTCAGCTCATGAAACATGGGACCAACACTTTACATGTTGCGTTTATATTTTTGTTCAGTATACTTCAAATAACCTCTCTTTTATATGAGGAAGTGATTTGACAATTTTCTCTGCTTGTTTGAAAGGCAGACAAACAAACACACATCCAAGCAGGACATCTCCTGAGTTTTACAACGTTGATTAATCAATGGTCTCTCCATGCTTTCACATAAGCTTGGTCAGTTCTCCAGAAACAATGTGTCAGGTTGGTCTATTGGATACTAATGTTGGCAAGGAAGGAAAACAAACATCACTCAGGAATGAAAGAAATGACATTAATTTGTGAACCATTCCCTTCCCGTTAATGAGGTACCATTAAAGGGTAAAACCTCCAGGGCGCTCACCGTCTCGCAAGCAGACTCACTGAGAAGAGGGATAGAAGAGGGCTGGAAGCCTTGAGATTTCCCTACATGTCCAACATCTGCTACGTTGCAGATTCTCACTGCTCACCACCACATTGCATGTCCATTTATGCAAAGTGCAGTTGACCATCAGAGGCTCGGCTACGGCAGGTAGCCTAGCGGTTAGAGCATTAACTGAAAGGTTGCTAGTTCTAATCCCCGAGCCGACAAGGTCAAATCTGCCCCTTGAGCAAGGCGCTTAACCCTAATTGCTCCAGGGTCGCTGTCAATAATGGCTGATTCCATTTCACACCTTGCACTTGTGCAGGTTACCCACTTGCAGTGAAACAGGACAAATATAAGCACCCCCTAGTTGACCTTCTGATTTTCCAGTCAGAAAGTCAGTCACTTCAGAGTCCACATCTCACATCAAATTTATTGGGTTGAGCTGAGAGGCTGAGAGCAGCAGTCGTCTTTGTCTCAAATGGCACCCTAATCCCTATATAGTGCACTACTTTTAACCAGGGCCCATGGGGAATAGGGTGTCATTTAGGACGCACACATCCTCTCCTCCCCACTGACAACTGCCTGTCATAGTGATTGTTCCATTTGGCTTAGCCCTCCGCAGCCTCCAGTGTGCTCCCAAAAGGAGATACACAACTCTCAACAATGGAGCTCAGCGCAGGCAATTACTGCCCTGAATTCTCCCAATTTGCCCTCCGAACATTTCCCACTTGACAACAACAACCCAAAATGTTGCGAGGGCATTTATTATATTCAGAAAGTTTCTCCAGGAATAGATTTGCTTAAAACGACCATGCTGTAGAACTGTTGGTGTTCTTTTAGATCTTTAACATTTCTACCCTCACATTGGTGGTGCTACATACTGCTGGTGGAGGGGAGTTACCTCATAAAAATGTAAACTGCTTAGAGTTCAAGAAAGGTTCTATTAAGGAAATTATCTGTTTACAGTGAGGGAAAAAAGTATTTGATCCCCTGCTGATTTTGTACGTTTGCCCACTGACAAAGAAAATATCAGTCTATAATTTTAATGGTAGGTTTATTTGAACAGTGAGAGACAGAATAACAACAAAGAAATCCAGAAAAACGCATGTCAAAAATGTTATAAATTGATTTGCATTTTAATGAGGGAAATAAGTATTTGACCCCCTCTCAATCAGAAAGATTTCTGGCCCCCAGGTGTCTTTTATACAGGTATCTCAGCTTGTTACCTGTATAAAAGACACCTGTCCACAGAAGCAATCAATCAATCAGATTCCAAACTCTCCACCATGGCCAAGACCAAAGAGCTCTCCAAGGATGTCAGGGACAAGATTGTAGACCTACACAAGACTGGAATGGGCTACAAGACCATCGCCAAGCAGCTTGGTGAGAAGGTGACAACAGTTGGTGCGATTATTCGCAAATGGAAGAAACACAAAATAACTGTCAATCTCCCTCGGCCTGGGGCTCCATGCAAGATCTCACCTTGTATAGTAGCAATGATCATGAGAACGGTGAGGAATCAGCCCAGAACTACACGGGAGGATCTTGTCAATGATCTCAAGGCAGCTGGGACCATAGTCAACAAGAAAACTATTGGTAACACACTACGCCGTGAAGGACTGAAATCCTGCAGCGCCCGCAAGGTCCCCCTGCTCAAGAAAGCACATATACAGGCCCGTCTGAAGTTTGCCAATGAACATCTGAATGATTCAGAGGAGAACTGGGTGAAAGTCTTGTGGTCAGATGAGACCAAAATCGAGCTCTTTGGCATCAACTCAACTCGCCGTGTTTGGAGGAGGAGGAATGCTGCCTATGACCCCAAGAACACCATCCCCACCGTCAAACATGGAGGTGGAAACATTATGCTTTGGGGGTGTTTTTTTGTTGTTATTCTGTCTCTCACTGTTCAAATAAACCTACCATTAAAATTATAGACTGATCATGTCTTTGTCAGTGGGCAAATGTACAAAATCATCAGGGGATCAAATACTCTTTTCCCTCAGTCATTAAAGCTTGAATCTTTAGTTGCCACATCAATTTTTTGACTCATAAATTAACAATAGGCTATATACCCATTGATTCTTGAAGAATATAACTTAGAAATGCCTCATGAACTTAGTTCAACTGTCGTACCCAATCAGAACCCATAATATTAGCTTGTTTTTACTGGAAACAACATTGGCGTAACATTCAGGCTAATTTTGGCCCCATGCTGCAGGGGAGACCAGTGCAGTCTGCCTGTATGTTACCTGTTGCAGGAGAGTGCCTCTAACTGGGAGTGCAGGGTCTCTCCGTCTTTAGCCCTCAGCATGGCCTCCAGATTTTCCTCCAGGGTCTTCTTGTGTCGTTGGACCTGCCGGAGGACCCTCTCAGCATCCTCAAACATGGAGGGGCACGGCTGGCTCTGCTGCAGCAGGGTGGGGGTCGGCCTGGCGGGAGGGAGGGGGAGGACTGGAGGGAGCACAACGGCCACCTCTTCCTGAGACTGTTGGGGGGGGGGGACCTTTAGATGACACATACACAGCTCACCACAGAGACATATATTTATAAAGAAATACCTAGATTTAAATACATATCTTGATTACCTTCTAAATTACAGAAATCTAAATATATGGCTCTGGTTCCACACATTTCAACATTTGTCGGCTGGGCTTGGTTATAAAGTCAAAACCATTCAGAAGCATAAGAGGAGCAAAACATTGCGTGTGTCACTAAATCTAAGAGAACTGTTTGGGAGAATTTTGCAAGAAGAGAGAGAATGCTAGCCAGGCTGTTGCATCTGCTGCAACCATTACCAATAGCAATAGTCACGACAAATCACCTTTTCTGTGCTGATGAAAGAGACAGAGAGAGATAGGGACCCGTTCTCTTCCATTCTATTCCCACTCTTTTTCTCTCCACCCATCACGAGGCATTCCATTCAGGCAGAGCTGATACAGCTGGGAGACCTTGGCTGTTTCTTTCCTCCTCCCCTCATCTTGTTCTCGTCTAGTATATATATTATATCAGTCTGTGTGCCTGGCTGCCCTGCATGGTTGCGTGGGGAGGAACAGACATCAGCCTGCCTGCCTTCCATCGTTCGCTAGCTGAGGGTAGTTTGTTTCAGCCGCGTGCTTCCCAGTCGCGTTCTGAAGTCGCTGTCGCAAATAATGCAATATCAAAACCACTTACACTGTTATCAGACACCAATTCACTCCTTTTGTGTATAAGGGGGATATTTGTCTCGTTAGTTTCTGTGGGAAAGGCAGTAAAGGGAGGAGGTTGGTCCTTGCTTTTCACATATGCGCTGCTGACAGCGATTCAGTCATTCTGTCTGAAATTCACGTGGCAACTGAAATAGTCTGGCGAGTTACAGCATGGGAGAAGTAATTCCCTAGTTGCCAAGTCAATCCCAGAACCTTTACAGAACAGGCATTGTGACAACACCAGAATGACCAAACTTATCTTAATCAGAATGCATGTCAATGAGTCACATCCAATAGAGTATTCATCCAACACACCAATAGGCTAGCACAGGACCAACTAACCAATGTGAGAATTGTTATCATTACTCTTTCTCTCTGTAGAAAAACCTATAGTGGTTGAAAAATAGACTTGGGGAAATCTCTTTCTGTTGTAGCCATTGTGCATTCTCCTCTGGTCCATGTGTAAAACAGAGATAACACCACTGATTTATCTATTTCTGTCCATAAAATGGGGGCACAGCTGAAAATACAAGGGTGGCATTGTGTCTGTCTGCTGCTCGGTGGTGGCTTGGTATGGATGGATGGCAACACAGACCGTACAAAACACAATGTAGGGAGGAAAACCTCCCAACCTCGTAAAGCTAGCACTGCAGAGGCAGGCAGGGGTTGCTATGGGAACCTACCATGGAGACGCAGGGAGGAGGAGGAGGAGGAGGGTGGTGCGTGGTGGTGGGAGCGGGGATAGCGGGCTGCTTGCTGCTGCTTGTGGTGTTGCTGGTCCTGGCTGATGCCGTCTCTCTGACAGTCTCTCGGCTCTCTGCAGCAGGAAAGGCATCGCGAGCCTGGATGAGAAGGGCAGAGGAACGCAACACAGGCTGTCTGAGTACCAACCGACTGACACAAGGCAGTGCTGGTTGGACATGTTTTTCCTACTCAAAGTCATATTAGAGGATATGATCTAGTTGTAAGACGCCACACCTGATCATTTGTGGGACACAGAAATGCTGTACTCATACATTTCCATCATGACCAAGCAATCACAAATTTCATACACCACCAGAACGGGCCATCATAGCATGACGACCATTAAATTATCATGCCTGTCCACTAAACCCCACAATAAAGAACTGCTGCATTAAAACCTGGTGTGACAATGACAGGCACAGAGAGGAGACAGACCGACAGACAGACAGAGACAGACAGAGACAGAGACAGAGACAGAGACAGAGAGAGAGAGAGAGAGAGAGAGAGAGAGAGAGAGAGAGAGAGAGAGAGAGAGAGACAGAGACAGAGAGAAACGTGCTCCTTCCAATTCTTTCAGCCCACAGACAGACAGACATACAAACCGACAGGCGGACAGACTGACAGAGACAGCGAGACAGACAGGCAGGCAGACAGACAGCGGCAGGCCAGATAGCATTCACACCCTGCATCCTCAATTATATGCTAATGTATAATTTGCCGTGTGCTACATTATTCTAAGCTGATAGAATTTTTCAGCAGCAGCAGAGGCGTGCTCAGAAACTCAATGCCTGGTTGGGGCGGCGACAGGATCAGAGTGTAATAGATGGGAACAGGCGTCGGGCGGCTGTGGCAACGCGTTCGTGGGGTAAGGATGAAGAAGTGTTGTAATTTATTAAGGGGAGAGGAGGGGGAGAGAAACAATCGAAAATTGCTGTCTTGGTCATTGAAATACCAGACACACTCGTGTCTTGGCTTGATTTCATCAGTGGTAAAGGCACCAATTAGATTAGCAAATTCCCAAAGCTGAACACAGACGAGAGGATGATATTGGCCCACTTAGTGAAACAGGAAACGTCCTGACGGCTCTGTGTGTGTGTGTGTGTGTGTGTGTGTGTGTGTGTGTGTGTGTGTGTGTGTGTGTGTGTGTGTGTGTGGTGTCGGGGTGCCTCCCGTCGTTCAGAGCAATAAATGGGTAGAAGGATAATCTTATTCTCCAGTCTGAATGTCTCCAATATGCCAATAATAGATTTAGGGGGAACTGAGCAGCACCAGCGATAACAGCTTATAGGCTTGGTGCATTAGAATACAAAAGGAAAGTTAATGGAAAAGACCACACAGAACTGGTGTAATGGGAAAGTAATTGTGAGGGCCTACAGCAGTTAACAGTTTTTCTCTTGACCTTGATTATCTTCTAGGGGAAAGGAAAACTGTTTGACAATAGTTTGGAGTTCCTCAAGGCTCTGTTCTCGGACCACTTTTGTTCTCATTATATTGCTACCAGAAGAGGTTATTCAAGGAGGCTATATGTCTATATACAGTATTCTTGATAAGATTGACAGTTGATATTTCTCTCAGTCAGTCCATCTCACCTGCAGCAGGGTCTGCATCTCAGTTTTGAGTCGTCCCAGGTCTTGAAGTATATCATTGGCTCGTTTCACAGCTGAGGTGGGTTGCGCAGGAACCCCAGAGGATGATGGGAGGCCTGGTTGGTGACTTCCTTCTCCTCTACCTTGGTGATTCGTGTCGCTGTGCTTCGCCAATGCCGCGGTGACCAGCTCTCTAACCCCAGAGGTAACATTAGAGACCTCTTGCTGGTGTTGGCCTTCCCTGTAAGGAAAGAAAGTGTGGGTGTTAGATGAAGAATGCTTTTATTGTTCATTTTCTTGTCAGAAGATGCAAGTTCTGTCTTTGCAGGCAAAACTGTCTGCAATGCCATTGCTATGACATCATTACAACTTTGCAATGATGGTATTACAAATCAGAATGTGCCCACTGAGCTTGGTCAACTCATCCATTAGGAAAGTGGGAGAGGAGAGCCATCCTTCCTCCTTCCTGGCCTGGTGAAGTGTTTGCCCTTCAGGGAAGAGGGCCAGAGTGGTGGCACAGCACCAATAACATGACTCAGACATAGGATAGCTTCCAAGCAGCCTACGTAATGCTATTGCTAGATCACTATTAAAGACTTCAATTGCATTGAGTGGCTGAGTAGAGTGAGTCCTGCTTTGGAAGGAGGGGAAAGCACATAGGGTCATTCAGAGGACAATGAGGCCGGCTGTCTTATTATATGCCATACTTGGTTGAGACTCTGGTCCGCTACTATATCCAATAGAAATAGGCTGTTATTAGTGTATGAAGAAAAATACATGAACTTTCCGTCCTTTTCCTGTACAGTGAGACTCATTATTTACATTGCAGTTTCGTAAGAGTGATAATTGGCATCAAATCTGTCTAATATTGAAGCTTAGAGCTGTATTTACACTGGCAGGGATGGAGCCGATAATGAGTGGACTCCGAAGATCTGAGAGAGGGGTTCATTGAGGTACAAACAACGCCTCTCTGACTCTGTGTGTGCTTCAAATGAACTGTATTCATAGTGTAGGGTTGCCAATTCATTGTGTGTTACTGACTGTGAACGCAATGGCTCCAACACTGCTGGGTCTGTCCACTTTTTGAGCAATTAATCACACACATACAGACAGTTTCCATTTGCCTTCATCATAGTAACATATTTGAAATGATACAAAAGCAACTTCTTCCACAGCAGACAGACTGTTATTATTTTCCCCTGTCGGTTACTACAGACAGGCACAGAACCACATACTGTTAATTGCCAAAACTGTCACACAAAAGTACCGCCATTAAAAATCACAATGTTCCCCTTGATTGTTTTGTCTTGTGCAAAAAATAATAATCTTCTTCCTTAATTTCTATGGTTTCACAGCGGGTAATGGAGATTTTCTTGACATTTCTGCATAGCCGCGGGAAGAAGTTTGATTTTAAAGAATTGCCCGCGCTACAGACGGCTAATACAGGACTAGTAAAGGTCCTGTGTACTACTTTTGTAAAAATAAAAGAATGTACAGTACCAGTCAAAAGTTTGGACACACCTACTCATTCAAGGGTTTTTCTTTATTTGTACTATTTTCTACATTGTAGAATAACAGTGAAGACATCAAAACTATGAAATAACACGTAGTAACCTAAAAGTTCTTCAAATAGCCACCCTTTGCCTTGATGACAGCTTTGCACACTCTTGGCATTCTCTCAACCAGCTTCATGAGGTAGTCACCTGGAATGATTTTCCAACAGTCTTGAAGGAGTTCCCACATATGCTGAGCACTTGTTGGCTGCTTTTCCTTCACTCTGCAGTTTGACTCATCCCAAACCATCTCAATTTGGTTGAGGTCGGGGGATTGTGGAGGCCAGGTCATCTGAGCAGCACTCCATCACTCTCCTTCTTGGTAAAATAGCCCTTAAATATCCCTTACACAGCCTGGAGGTGTGTTGGGTCATTGTCCTATTGAAAAACAAATGATAGTCCCACTAAGCCCAAACCAGATGGGATGGCGTATCGCTGCAGAATGCTGTGGTAGCCATGCTGGTTAAATATGCCTTGAATTCTAAATAAATCACAGACAGTGTCACCAGCAAAGCACCCCAACAACATAACACCTCCTCCTCCATGCTTTACGGTGGGAAATACACATCCGTTCACCCACACCGCGTCTCATAAAGACACGGCGGTTGGAACCAAAAATCTCAAATTTGGCCCAAGCAAGTCTCTTCTTCTTATTGGTGTCCTTTAGTAGTGGTTTCTTTGCAGCAATTCGACCATGAAGGCCTGATTCACACAGTCTCCTCTGAACAGTTGATGTTGAGATGTGTCTGTTACTTGAACTCCGTGAAGCATTTATTTGGGATGCAAATTCTGAAGCTGGAAACTCTAATGAACTTATCCTCTGGCACGGAGATCATCAATACATCAGAATGACAGAGAGGCATGGTAACATCGGACCAATAGACTGGCCTTGTCAGCTACAAGAACAAGGGTGTGACTGAACAATCAGAGAATAGGGTGCAGAGAGAAAGAGAGAAGAGAAGATGGAGAACACTGAGGCCTACACATTTTAAATGGAGTGTACCTCACAGAGGGAAGGAGGAAACGAGAGAAGATATGGAGAGAGACTAGCTAACATGTATGGCTCCCCCTGAGCCGTGCTCACAATGCAAAGGTCACCATTGAGAGGCAGAGGCAGCGCCCATCCTCCGGGCAGGGTGCGTGTGTGTGTGTACTTACAGTGGGAGAAAAAAAGTATTTAGTCAGCCACCAATTGTGCAAGTTCTCCCACTTAAAAAGATGAGCGAGGCCTGTCATTTTCATCATAGGTACACGTCAACTATGACAGACAAATTGAGAATTTTTTTTCCAGAAAATCACATTGTAGGATTTTTAATTAATTTATTTGCAAATTATGGTGGAAAATAAGTATTTGGTCACCTACAAACAAGCAAGATTTCTGGCTCTCACAGACCTGTAACTTCTTCTTTAAGAGGCTCCTCTGTCCTCCACTCGTTACCTGTATTAATGGCACCTGTTTGAACTTGTTATCAGTATAAAAGACACCTGTCCACAACCTCAAACAGTCACACTCCAAACTCCACTATGGCCAAGACCAAAGAGCTGTCAAAGGACACCAGAAACAAAATTGTAGACCTGCACCAGGCTGGGAAGACTGAATCTGCAATAGGTAAGCAGCTTGGTTTGAAGAAATCAACTGTGGGAGCAATTATTAGGAAATGGAAGACATACAAGACCACTGATAATCTCCCTCGATCTGGGGCTCCACGCAAGATCTCACCCCGTGGGGTCAAAATGATCACAAGAACGGTGAGCAGAAATCCCAGAACCACACGGGGGGACCTAGTGAATGACCTGCAGAGAGCTGGGACCAAAGTAACAAAGCCTACCATCAGTAACACACTACGCCGCCAGGGACTCAAATCCTGCAGTGCCAGACGTGTCCCCCTGCTTAAGCCAGTACATGTCCAGGCCCGTCTGAAGTTTGCTAGAGTGCATTTGGATGATCCAGAAGAGGATTGGGAGAATGTCATATGGTCAGATGAAACCAAAATATAAGTTTTTGGTAAAAACTCAACTCGTCGTGTTTGGAGGACAAAGAATGCTGAGTTGCATCCATAGAACACCATACCTACTGTGAAGCATGGGGGTGGAAACATCATGCTTTGGGGCTGTTTTTCTGCAAAGGGACCAGGACGACTGATCCGTGTAAAGGAAAGAATGAATGGGGCCATGTATCGTGAGATTTTGAGTGAAAACCTCCTTCCATCAGCAAGGGCATTGAAGATGAAACGTGGCTGGGTCTTTCAGCATGACAATGATCCCAAACACACCGCCCAGGCAACGAAGGAGTGGCTTCGTAAGAAGCATTTCAAGGTCCTGGAGTGGCCTAGCCAGTCTCCAGATCTCAACCCCATAGAAAATCTTTGGAGGGAGTTGAAAGTCCATGTTGCCCAGCGACAGCCCCAAAACATCACTGCTCTAGAGGAGATTTCTCATTTTGTCTGTCATAGTTGACGTGTACCTATGATGAAAATTACAGGCCTCTCTCATCTTTTTAAGTGGGAGAACTTGCACAATTGGTGGCTGACTAAATAGTTTTTTCCCCACTGTATTTACAGTGCCCTCCTGAATTATTGGCACCCTAGGTAAATATGAACAAAAAAGGCTGTGAAAAAATGTCATTATTGTTTATCAGCTTGACCTTACACTCAAAATGTCATATGAATCTAACCTTTAATTGAATAATAAATAAATAAAAATCAAGAAATATTTGTTTTATTCTAAAACATGCGTGTCACAATCACTGAAATTCTTATGAACAAAATCTAATCGATGTATATTCCGATTAAGATTTTACTTTTTAAAGTTCATCGGAGTCTTTGGGAAGTGGTCATCTGTGGTCCTCTGTAGCTCAGCTGGTAGAGCACGGCGCTTGTAACGCCAAGGTAGTGGGTTCGATCCCCGGGACCACCCATACACAAAAATGTATGCACGCACGACTGTAAGTCGCTTTGGATAAAAGCGTCTGCTAAATGGCATATTATTATTATTATTATCCATGGCTTCCTGTTTCACTGTGGTATAAATATGAGGTGACACCCAGTCTAAACTCCCTTAGTCATCCATCAACATGGGAAAGACCAGAGAACACACAAATGAAATGAGAAAAGGTTGTTGACCTTCACAAATCAGGCAATGGCTATAAAAAGATAGCTACACGCCTGAAAATACCCATCTCCACTATTAGGGAAATAATTAAGAAATGTAAAACAATTAGAGCTGTGATGAACCTGCCTGGAAGAGGAAGCAAGTGTATTTTGCCCCCACGCACAGTAAGAAGCATGGTTCAAGTGGCAAAAAAAAACTCCAAGGATCACAGTTGGAGAGTTGCAGAAGTTGGTTACATCTTGGGGTCACCAAGTCTCCAAAACTACAATTAGACACCACCTACATGCCAATAAGTTATTTGGAAAGGTTGCCAGAAGAAAGCCTCTGCTGTCACCAAAACACAAACGTAGGCGCCTGGAGTTTGCTAAATGTCATTGGAACTTTGATTGGAACTGGGTTCTATGGTCTGATGAGACTAAAATAGAGCTTTTTGGCGACAAACACCAGAGGTGGGTTTGGTGTAAAAAGAGCCATGGTCATGCAGAAAATAATCTAATCCCCACTGTGAAGTGTGGTGGTGGATCTGTGATGTTGTGGGGCTGTTTTACTTCCAAATGCCCTGGGAACCTTGTTAAG